AAGCACCAGGGGGAGTGGTAAACATGTTCTAATTGAAGACCGTAAGGTAACAGATACAGAAGAAGAGTGGAGATATTAGTTGAGTTGAGCAAGGAAATGATTATCATGTCACCTTTTCCTTAGAAAGCTAGGTGCTTTTGCTTCTTGTCATTTGACCATAAAATCATCCTTTTGGGATCCTAAAATCTGCTGGAAGGTTTTCTCCCGCATAAATTATTAAGGTTTATCCAGAAAGAAACTAAAATTGCCTAACAAGCAAAATATTAACTGATTATTTATATATTATATAGATCAAGCCAATAACATGAAAACACCGATCTGATCTTAAAAGTTACGATTACAATATGCTCCGATCAAACTTCAAAGACAAAGATTGAGGCGAAACACCTGGCAACGACAAGGAGAAAGTCATACAAGCCTTTGCGGCAGCCACAACTTCCCTCTGCACGACTCGGAGAATAACTGTCGCAACTCACTCAGATATCTATATCTTGCAAATAAAATGTTGTGACAGTATCACCAACTACTTTGCACATCTGCTGCAGTAGTTCTTTCTCTTCTTGCAGAAAAACAGAGGCAAAAAGAGGAACTTCCAGTGGGTCTCTTTATATTTATAGCTTGCAGCATCCCTCCACAGTAGGGACACTGCCCTGGTTGCGGCAGCCCATGTTTCACCCTCTCATCTTTTTCATACACAAACACCCAACACATCCTATGCATTGTCTTAGTACGAGAGGAGACATTATGGTATTGTTAGACATCCTTCTTTTCTCGACTGTCTTGCTGCCTTTCTTCCTCAGCTGGTTGACTTAGAAAATCCTTCTATCTTTTATTGGTTTAGGATCCGGAAGAATACGCTGGAAGGAGTGTTTTACAAACAACGCGAACTTTTCAGTCCGGGTGGTAAAGGATAAGAGATGTCATTGGAGCTTTCTATAAAGTGTCTGTATCCACAACAGGATGATATTGACTGACCAGTTACTCAAGAACTAGATGCTTTTATCTACGTAACTTGCCTTTTCGGATTTCTGTTTTCATTTTTCTGGTCAAAGTTATAGAACTGTAGATAAATCATGAAATTGCAGGGAAGATGTTCAAATTGGTACTTGAAGTTTTGGCTAAATATACCTGAAGGTGGTTCATGTTCAAATTGGTACATGATAATTGTACTAGTATCTTAGAAATAGGAAGTTCTTCTGTTAAATTTTGAAAGCTTATTATTTTATTAGTGCTCTTCTAAGTACAATGCATTTGAATTTTGAGACTTTATTTTTATCAAAAAATTGAGTTTCCAAGCTCCCAAATACATTTAGCATTGAAACAGAGCACTCCGTTTTTTTCGTTCCTAAATCGTAGTACCATCTAGCTTGCCTGTACCCCGCAGCATTGAATGGTGCATGTCACAAAATAAATGCCAGTATTAATAGTTTCTGAAGCACGGAGAGCGAAATACATGTGCTGGCAGAGTGAGCTAGTTGGAGATCCTGAAATGGCAGCATGGTTACAATTTACAAAAACTTGGGGATATCGAATGGAGTCGAGCAATGAAGCAATGAAGCCAGAAGCGTGTCCCTCTTTCCCAGAAACCTAATTACTAGTTCATAGCTAGCTAGCTATCTAGAGAGAGAGAGAGAATAAACGAATCAACATACTCAGAGTAGAGACTGGAGAGAAAGGGGAGTTGCTCAACTCCATGAATACATGGGAGTGAGTTTAACTTAGGAACAGACCAAGAACTTGTCAATTCAATTAAGAAAAAATCACCGTGGCACTGACTTGCTATTAGCAGCCGTTGAACGGCTGCCGTTCCCATATCGCTGTCATTATCACCATGCTAAGTTTCAAGCCGAATTGTGAGATTACAACAAAAGTCATTCATTCTAAGGAAAACAAAAATCTCGTAACGGTACCGATCTTTCACTCTACATAAAGGATATAAATCAGCAGTAAATCATACTCCTAAAGGATAAAAATTGGCAAATTGCCTGGTAAAACAAAATATACTAGGATTAATTTACACATAATAAAAGACACATGAAAAAGTTTATATCTCGAATTCAAACTTAATTTAAAATTTTTATGTTATTTATTTTTAAAAATGATATTTAATAATTTTAAATTTTAATATTTATAATTTTTTTATTTTTAAATTATAACTTTTTTTATATAAAAATTAAAACTCCTTTGCCTTAGATCTTAAAATAACAATTACAATGATGACGTTGATACTACATAGTAGTAGTTGGTATCTAAGACAGAATTTTAGGGATACTATATAGTAGTAGTAGTTAGTGTTTGAGTTGATAATAGTTTGATTTAAATCGGATTTGATTTGATTTTTTTTAATGTTATATAATATTTTAAAATTTTAAAATTTGATCTAAATTTGAATTAAATTTTTATTTCATTTAAATTGAACAAAATCAACTTTTATTAGTTTGGTTTGATTTGATTTATCAATTTTTAATTTTTATATATTATTTTAATATAAAATTTTAATATATTTAAGTATATTTTAATATAAATTTATTATTTTTATTTTTTAAAATAAAAAAATATAAATTAAAATATATAATTCGATTTAATTTTTTTTATTTATCGATTCAAAATTTGATTTGAATTTAATATATATATATATATATATTTAATATTTAAATTTAATTCGAATTAAATAAAAAATAAGTACTATAATTTTAAATTAATTTTCGATTTTTTCGATTTTTTTCTTAGTTAGGTCAAAGACAGATTTTACGCATGAAGCACTGGCAACTTCGACGAGAACGTGAAAAGCCTTTGGGGCGGGCACAACCTCCCACTCCGCTACAAGCTCCCCGTTTTGTCCCTGAAATGCCCTCCCTACTGCCACGTGTAGCCCACTGAGACCACGTAGAGTTTCCCACCCATCCAGTAACAGCAAAAGGCCTCTGCATCGCCTCACGTGGGAATTTATCACCACCCACATACTGCCACTCGTCATGATCAGCTAGTTATACCTTCATCGGGCAGTCACCGTGTTCTGGAATGACAAACAGCCTGTCACCCAGAACCACGATGTCCGTGGTCCAACCTTCTTTATCCCGTCCTTCATTCTTGCCACGTGTCAATGTCCAGGTCCTAGACCCATCCTCTCGGCGAAAATAAGAAAGGCAGGTTCACCCCTCTGTCACGTACATCTTGCTCCCAACCACTGCTGAATCGTACCTGGCCGATCCCCTGCGCATTTTAGCAACGGATTACCATGTCTCCCTCTGTGGATAATAGCATTCTGCGTAGGGTGGGCAACCCAACCCCCGGTGTCTTTCGGTCCGACGTGATCTTATAACATCAATTTTTTTTTTTTTTAAATTGAGTTTCGAGGTGGAATCGAATAATGTTAAGAAAAAATCGAATCGAATTTAAATTTTAAATGAATTTGATTTGATATTATATAAAAATTAATTTTAAATTAATTTTTTTATTTATATATATAATTATATATATAAATATTTATATTTAAAAATAATATTTTATAATTAAAAAAATAATATTTTATTAATTTTAAATCAAATTAAATACGATTTATATAATATCAAATCATGTTTGAGTTTGATGAATATAAAATTAGATTAAATTCGAAATGAAAAAAATTCGTTTTGATTCGATCTGTTATCCTCTCTAATTCTGCAGAGGTGATGGAATCATTATATCCGGTCACTTCCACCGACGGCCATGATCTTACCATTAACATTCCCCGCAGCGAAGAACGATCGTGGGGTCAGCATGGATTCATGGAGGCGCTATGGACCATTAATTTGTGGATGTAGTGTAGACGATCGTAGTCTGCATGGAAGTTTCTGTGTTAGAGCACAAACCACCCAAAACGTAGAGCTGGCCTTGACGTGCAAGTACAAGAGAACTCCCGTGGGCACACAGCCTTGGGACAAGGTCCTTTATGGGTATGGACAGACCCCGAAATGGCCAGGGTCGGTTATGGCTCTGTTCCATGAGCAAGACACTGAACATAAAAACGATTGGTATGGATATAGAAGATGAAAAAGACAAAACTCTAAGATCTCGTCGCGTAGCACTGGAATCAACGGCTCCGGTATCTTGTGATTTTCTCGATCATAATTGTCTTGTTACTTGCTCGAGGCAGACTTGGAAACCGCCATTAATCTTTGAAGCTCTTGGCGTAGACCAAAGCTAAGCAGAAGAGAAGCCGTGGAATTGTGTCCGAGCATGGTTTAACTGCGTATATATAGAACTGGAATTACAAGGGAGCGGAAGGAGAGGGAAAGTGGGCGAGTTTGTGAAGCTAACTTTACCGCGTAAGGAAATGTTGGCTTGTCAAAATGAAAATGTTTAGACTATTTTAATGTTTTCTTTTTTTTTTTTCATTGAAATAAAAATAGGAGTTTATATTTGATGTATGGTTAATGTATAGATTTTATAAAAGATAAATTTTATATAAAATTTTTAAGTGAAATTTAAAATTTTTTTTAATTTTAATTAAAATTTAAATTGATAAATTAAAAATTTTTAATATGAAAATTAATTATATATAAAAAATTATTAAAAATATTATTTATAATTCAAATTTAATCAATATTATTTAACAATAAAAATATGTTAATGTTTCATTAAAAAAATATTTAAAATATATCAAAATTTATTAATTATTTTTTTAAATTTATACACTTAATTTATATAATAAAATTTTTTAATCTATCGATTTTGATTTTGATTTTTAATGAACTTTTTAAATTTCACATAAAAACTTTATCTAAATTTTTATTTTTTAAATTATTAATAAATTAGATAATATTATTTCGTTAATATGTAAATATTAATTTTTAAAATAAATATAAATTTTTAAAAAAAATTTATTCATTAATAAAATAATTTAATTTAATTTACTTTATTAATAAAATTCTATCATTCAATTCACAAACAATATATATATATATATATATATATATATATTATATACAATACAACAAATATAATTCTTAAAAATAAAAATGAGTTTCGTGTGTGAGTGTTTGCATGATTCCCTTCTAAAAACCGGAATATTAATAGAACCGTAAATCGAGTGACGAACCAAAATCCGGAAAATCCGAAAATCAAAGGACTTATTTGATTAAACAAATTTTCACACCGGAATCAGCCTCGAATGACGTAACTTGAACTTGGAGACGAGCACGTGCCGCCGGTGACCGGCGCTGAGTGTGCCTTATCTAAATAAAAATAGTGATGTGGGGTGGCGTGGCCGGGCTGCTCTGGGCTGGACTAGGAGGATCGAAGTTTGAATAAAGAGAAAATCAGAAAAAAGTTGGATTCTCTGAAGTCTACAATTAATGTGGTTGGCCGAGGGCTTCAATAATTGATAAAGATTAGAGCACCCGGGTGAGGGTGGTTACAAAGGAAGGTGAGATCTCGTTTCATTTTTGTGTTAATGAAAGGACCATGTCAAGTCCATTAGTAATTATTGACCTGATAACAGCAATTATTACCCTCACCTCCTGCACCTTCTTCTTTCATTGGAGTTCAATTACTGAATTACAAGTTTAAGAAATTTGGTAATCAAGGCTGCTGACATGCAAAGTAGGCTTAGTTATAGGATAAATCCCCCTGAATCTATCTATCTATGACAATATAAAACCTAATTATCAACTTTAGTTGCTGGTTTGGACAAGTGACACCTATAAGAACAGATTTACTCCCGGAATTGGAATTATTTAACCCAATTTCACAGGTTATGCTGCTACTTTTTCCTCAAATGGAAAGCATGAGAGTTGATAGCAGCTGAGGTATGGCTGTTTTTGTTATTTATAAACAAAAATGCAGAAAAAGATGCCTTCTTGTTGTTGATGGAAATTGGAAACTGAGTATATATTTGTCTGAATGTTGAAAACATATGTATTTGCAAATGTGGCCTAAAAATGGGCATTGGGAATATGTAGTAATGGCCCATAATGAAGAAGTTGAATTAGCCCAAGCAGCAGATGTCTACGGCATTACCACTAGCCTACTCTCCAATGAATTTGTTCCGAATTCCCGCCCCACACTAAGGCCCTCACGTTATCCGTTTGGACCATTTAGATCACTACAACTGGTAGTTGTACTTCTAGATAGATTTCCCCTTCTCGGCTTGCAAGTCATTTGCATGGCTATGGCTGCCTCTGGCTGATGGATAGGCGTAGGCTCACCACCACCACTCTCACCACCAAAGAATGCCTCAAGTCCACGCTATTTTGCCTTTACCTTGTAAACAATTGCTACGTTCTAATATTTTCTCATCTTCTTCTTCTGCCCCGACTCAACGTCGTTTTCGAAGGACGTTCTCTCCCACTATACCTCCCAATCTCAAACGTCTCACCGGTCGCATCGTCCAGCTCACTCGCCGTAGGCAACTTCATCAGGTCAGGTGTTTTTTTTTTTTTTTTGACTGTTCTGTTGGAATTTATTGTTAACTGGGGTGGATTACAGATATTTGAGGAAATCGAGAATGCGAAGAGAGAATATGGGAAGCTGAACAAGATCGTGATGAACGCAGTGGTGGAGGCTTGCGTTCATTGTGGAGATTTTGATTTGGCTCTCAAAATTTTTCACCAAATGGCTCAACCCCACAGTTGTGGTGTTGATACTGTTACCTATGCTACACTCTTGAAGGTAATTTAGAAAAAAAATTAATAAACCAAACAATTCCCAAACATGTTCTTATACCCATTTCGACTCATTTTATCTATTTATTTACTGAAAATTTATTAGATGATTGAATCTTAGCTGTCATATTTGTAAAGGGGTTGGGTCGGGCTCGAAGAATTGATGAAGCCTTCCAATTACTTGAGTCGGTTGAACAAGGCACTGCTGCAGGGAAGCCAAAGTTGTCAGCACAACTTATCTACGGTCTGTTGAATGCATTAATTGAAGCAGGTCCGTTTTAGAAGTCCGCTGAAACCTTTTTGTTGATCTGGGAGTCTTTCATTAAGCTGTAGAAATCTTGGGATGAATTTGAAATCAAAGGTTTTGAGTAGCATAATAGCATTACAATAAATGGTTTTATTATCATAATTAGTGCCTATTTTCTTGTCAATGACAAAAGCGTTGGACTACCAGATTAAGTTCATCACTTGGATCAAGTCTGGTTTCCGATAGCATTTTGCTGCCATTTTCAAAAACAAGGCCTCTGTTTTGGCCGTAGATCACACTTTTTACCAGGAAGAAGTTATAGTAGTATTACTTGTGATTATTCATCTTGTTAGTACTTGCATGTGGATGGGCTCAATTATATGAACCTAAACATTCATATGAATGGAGGATGTTGATAGTTGAGTATTATTTTGCTGAATATATACTTCATCATGTTACTTTTTCTCTGTTTTAGATATATCCTTGTAAGCAACAACTTCAACATTACTGACAATGTATACATAATCTGGTTTATTTCAGGAGATCTACGCCGTGCTAATGATCTTTTTGCACGCTATGGTTTCCTTCTTTGTGAAGGAGGGAGTCCGTCAATATTGACTTATAATTTGCTAATGAAGGTTTTTATCTGGCCTGTATATCTGCTAAGGAGGACACTATTTCAAGAGTTTAATTTTCTCCCCCAAAAGTTTACTCATGGTCCTTTGCTTGTCAGTTAAAATATCTGTTCTTGAAGATTAATCTATGTTTTCCCTCTTTTCCTCTCCTCCAAACTCTCAGGGATACACAAGCACAGGGCGTCCTCAGGCTGCAATAAACCTGCATGAAGAAATACTACGTCTTGGACTAGAGCCTGATAGACTGACATACAATACTCTCATCTTTGCATGTGTCAAGACAGAAAATTTAGATGCTGCAATTTGTTTTTTTAAGGAAATGAAGGTCACAAGCACTTATTTGAAAGGCCAGTTTAGAGCCTCCCACATACAATAAGAATAATCACGGGAACTTCCCAGTTGACCTAAATTGTTATACCTGATAATTTTTTCAGGATAAAGCACAGCACTTATGCCATCTTGATCTTTACCCGGATGTTGTTACTTACACTACACTATTAAAGGTGAGGTAGTCTTGTGTTTATTCAGGTATAAGCAATTAAATGAATGAGCAGTTTATTTTTTCAAACTTTTAAATGTTGAAGCTTTTGTTAAATATGAGAACGTTTATATTGCACATTCCCTATGAAATGGATGCAAAATATTTAATAGTCTATATCTTCATCGGTAACCCTTATTGTATTCCTGAGATCTTCATCTTTCTCATGTGAGTGAATTCAAAATCAATATATTGCTCTCATGTGACCAAGAAACTTATGGAAGAATTTACCTTTTTACTTTATATCTGTGTAGGGTTTTGGGCATGCTAAGGATCTCCATTCAGTTCAGAAGATTGTGTTGGAGATGAAATCTCGTCATGATTTGTTCATTGATCGTACTGCATTTACTGCAATGGTTGATGCTTTGCTAAATTGTGGTTCAAACAAGGGTATGTTGTTGATATTGTTTCAGAACCTGCAATGGGTCGTGATTCTATCTTATTTACATGATTGAGGGTGAGATCTAAAATTTTACATCTTATACTAGTTCAGCATACTGATTACATTTGCACGTAATTTATGTGAACTTTATCCAGATTGGGTGTAACTCCAAGCAAATTTAAAATTTCTATATGCTGATGTTTTGAGTAGAACTTTTATTGGGGTCATACTCTGTAGGATGTAAACAACATATGCACCAAAGTTTTAATGTTTGAGTAAAGCTTCTGCATCAGCATGCTGAAGCTCATACAAATCTATTTTACAAATGAGGTTTGTTTATCATTGTTGTTAACTCATGTCAAGTGAACCAGTTTTGCTGCGTATCTACTTTTGTTTTTCACTTGCAAGTGGTACATATAGAATTTTGTTTCATTGGGGAAGTACCTGAATAATAATTGATGGAATGGTTTATAAACAAAAAACCTAGGTGCTTTTTGCATATTTGGAGAAATATTAAAGCGGGCTGGTGCAAATGCGGACTTGAGGCCAAAGCCTCACCTTTATCTCTCCATGATGCGTGCTTTTGCTGACCAAGGGGATTACAATATGGTTAAACATCTGCGTGAGCGGTTGTGGCCAGATTCTTCTGGAACCATCTCTCTGGCTGTTCAACAAGAAGCTGATCATCTTCTTATGGAGTCTGCTTTAAATGATGGGCAGGTATTCAATCCATCTACACATGGCAGTTGGCATTGCAATTTCTAGTGCATTAATGATGCATGGCGCAAAAACTTATTAGGAGTAGTTGTCTTATCTGCATGTACTCCTTGAACTGATACAGTAAGACTATTTGCATCCTTCCAACTTCACTAAATGAGAATAATAGGTTTTGTTTCTGACCTCTAGGTTATCCCTTGTGAGAGAAATCCCAAACTTGGAAAATTTGAAATCTATTCTTTTCCCTTTTCTATCAGATTGATGCAGCTTTGGAAAATCTTACAAAAATCATTAACAGATGGAAGAGTATACCTTGGACAAGTCGTGGTGGCATGGTATGGAATTAATTCTTACTTTTGATGATTGCACAGATACACTAGGGAAAAAAGAGACACAACAGCTTAATCTTATCTGATTATTGAAGATATAAGATATTTGAAATGGATGACAATATGTGCCCTTGTTGAAAATGTGCTGAAATTCCCTTGTTCCTATTGATTAATGAACTCAGTGCTCTTTCTTATTCTGTTTATTTAGTTTGACGGGATTAAGCTGGAATGCACCTAATATAGTTTGATCTTACCTGTCAAAATTTCTTAGATATTTGATGACTAATCCTTTACCTTGAAATGCTTTTCCCCCTTATGAGATGTTAGTTATGCAGTTCAGTTAAACATGTTCACCACCTTCAATGTACTTTTGCTATGCAGGTTGCTTTGCGTATAGAGGTTCTTCTGGGATTTACCAAATCTTTGTTCTGTCCTTACTTACTTCCTCAGGTACACAGTCTCTTCCTGTCCATTTTGAACTGTAGAAGGAGAAAGCTTCAAGTAATTGTTAGGGATGATTTACATATATAGGTGTGAGACAAATTTTTAGCTCTGGATTGTAATATCATTGCAAAAGATGTGACCATATTTATTTGGTGCATTTTTATTGCGGGATCTACTGATAAAATCTATGGTTCTGGAAATATCCATATATAAGAGCAACTCTAATTATTGACCAAGTTTAGTTGAATGGGCATGGATGATATTGTTGATGGAGCTAACTGGATGGCAACTGCAACTGGCAGTTTCAATGTGCCAAGTCCTCATAAACTGCCAATTTTTTAGGTTGAATGACGAGATTTTCTATGTTCAGGTGTTGCCAGGTGATCTGATTGAGAGCATCATGATGCCATTTGAAACAGTTAGGCCACTACCCGGCACTCTGGAGTTGAAGAAAGTAGTAATGCGCTTATATAGAGAGCCAGTTGTGCCAATTATAGATGACTGGGGCAGCTGCATTGGGCTGTTACACCGCGAGGATTGTTATGAGGTACTTCCACAACTTGTTGCTAGCTAATAAAAAATTCATTGGTTTATAATCCCGTCTGATGACTTTCTTGATTTGGTTCGTTTGTCATTGTGCAGCATTGTCATGCATAATTAAGATGTGAAACATATTTCTCTCTAGTACTTTGTTGGGATGATGACTGACCAGCCATGTACAAGTTGTGATAGACTGTAATTCATCTGAAACTTCTATTGATTGTGAGCTGATTCAATCCTCCATGATCTTGTGCAGATCAATGCCCCACTTTCGACAATGATGAGAAGTCCACCTCCTTGTGTTACAACGACAACAACTATTGGTCATGTAATTGATCTAGTTTTGGAAAAGAAGTACAAAATGGTTATTGTTGTAAAAAATAGCAACTTGAATGGTATCACGCATGGGTCTAGGGCAGTCGGTGTTTTTACAGCTGAACAATTGGTTAACCTTGTGGCACCTGTGTCAGAAGTGCTGAAACAAAAGCACACTGTTCATAGAAGTTTAACGATGTTCTGATGCATTTCTCATCTTTTACTTACTTTTTTTCATGTAAATAAAATTTTGGGCAAATATGAGTAGCTGAGATCATCTTAATGCATGTAAATTGAACAGGAATTTGTTAACTGCGTAAGTGGACTCTCCCATCACTCCTTCATGTCAAGGAATTTTGTGCTTTTTTATCTATTTTGTACTATTAGGGTGTTTTAATGGATTAATGCAATTATTATTTTTTAAATATTTTTTAAAATTCAAATAAATATATTGATTTTTAAAATTTTAAAATTAAATTTTTATACAATCTTATTGTGTGAATTCATATATGGTGTACAGCATCAGTGTATCATTGCATAAACTCATAAACAAATTAGTAGCATATATTTGAGATAAGAGGAAATTAAGGTATGCTGACGTGGTAATAATTAGAGGCGGTAGCTGAAATGACGGTACGGACGTTAGCAGCAGGGGAAGACCAAACCTAAAAAGCCTCCTCCGAAAACCGAACGTAGCTTGAGCTGAAAAAGGCAAGTTGAGTGAGTGAGATTTTGTTTTCCATTTGAAACCTCCTTTGAAAGGATCGTTTTACGGAGGGAGAATTAATACTTAAAACAGAAGGAGAAAGGGCAAGGAAAATATGGCGTTCAGAGGGAAGGATATGATGAAGAAGCTGATGATGAAGGTGGGAGAGAACAACCTGGCTCCTGGAGTGAAGGAACAACTCATGATATGCATTCCCAACAGAAAGGTCGTCATGGCCCGTGCCAAACGCGGCCTTTACGCTGGCCGACACATCCAGTTCGGCAACCGCATAAGCGAAGACGGTGGAAACAAGTATTCTTTCTCTTTCATCTCTTAACTCTTTTTTTTTCTTCTTCTCTTATTTCTCCTGCAATTAAATTTTTGTTGAAATTGTTGATTTTATCATTTTTATTGTTTTGTTTTGGATTCTTAGTTATTGTTCTGAGGTGATCTGTGGAATTAATTGGATGTTGAGCATTTAGCTGGTGTTGTTGAATGGCTGTAATGCCTACTAGGATCTTTGTATTGGAGTTATTACTAGGGAGGGTATTAAGAAATTAGTTCAGGAATTGCTGCAAAATTAGGGTAGAATCTATTGAAAATCTTAGGAAACTCATAGTCAGAGTCAATAGTGGGATCTTAAACAGTTTCATAAGTAAAAATTACATCCAATCAAGCATTTTTGGGGTTTGGATGCTTGTCTTGAAGTCAGATTTAACTCATTCAATTGTCATCGAGCTCTCTACAAGTATGGCTACCAAGAGTCCTATGTAGTTTTCTGTTATTGGTGGTCATCTGTACTTGGAAAAAATCTTTTGGAATATTTGTCATCGGTGAGCACATGTTTGTTATTTTGAGATGTGATATATCCTTGTAAGCATGTGGTTCATTCAAGTTCTCCGCTGCAAAGTTGGTTGTTCCACTTTTTCTGCACTTTGGACTCTGATATGTGCGGCTGAATTGGTGCAAAAGAGCATACCAACCGACAATATTGGCCACGATCAAGCAGAATGGAGAAAATGGTTCTTGTAGGCTGTATCCAAACCCCTAATAGTTGGATTAAGGCTTTAATTAAGTTGACCTAAGATTAAACTTTAGCTGTGTTTTGCTGCTCAAACTTTCTCTTTTACTTTGCTTAATTTCCTGCACAAAAAATTTCTCAACTGAAATATAGCTGTGTGTGCTCTTCTAAGCATTGGGAAATTTTAACCTTGTGTAATGGATGGGACAGGTCGAGGAGGACTTGGAAGCCTAATGTCCAGGAGAAACGTCTCTTTAGTTATATCTTAGATCGCCACATTCGAGTAAAAGTCACCACTCATGCCCTTCGTTGCATTGACAAGGCAGGTGGAATTGATGAGTACCTGCTAAAAACTCCCTACCACAAGATGGATACAGAAATGGGCCTGTTCTGGAAAGCTAAAATTGAGAAGATGTATGAAGAGCTTGGGCAAATGGAGGTAGTATTCTTTTCGCCAGAGGATGAAGCAAATATTGAACAAGGTTTCAAAGACCTGAAGCTAGCAGAGAGAGCAGCTCGAAGGGATGCCAGAAGCCAGATGTATGGATGGTCAGGGAAACAGGAAAAAATCAAGCATGGAAGAACTGGCCTAGTAACTCATGATGAAACTGCTAGTGTTGGGGAAGATAGTTCTCATGGCGATGTTCATGAACAGCTGATTGCAAATTTGTGAATTTAGAGCTGCTTGCTAGCTTGGATTCTGTCCAAAATTTTCCTCCTTTTTAAGGATTTTTGTTTTGGATGAATAATTTTGTAGCTATGCTTTTGGAATTAGTCTCACGAGGATTGGGCCACGTAGACAGAAGCATGTCATCAACTTCAGAGTTAAATTATAACTTGTATCTTTAGTAACGTATCAGGCAATTTGGCTTTACATTAACATGATACACAGAAGCATATCTCTGTTGAAACTGATCCCTATGTATTCCCTGGAGCATGATTTGAAATACCGGTTGGGCTGACGGAGCATGCGAATATTAGGCCATTCTTTTGTGTTTAAACATGAAACATGAAGCTTAAAAATTAAACAATGCAGCAGTTGAGAAGGCTGGTTGGTTAATGGAATTCTGATTCATTAGCTCCAAAATGTGGGCTTGGAAAAGTTGTATCTGACGATCGAGATTATAGTGCGTTGGCGTGGTACCACAGGCATATGCTAGTAATATGGAGGATCTCTCTGTTTTCTGTTGAGTTAGGTGAGTTGGCTGGCCTATTAGAAAGTTAGAATTCCACAGGAATTTCAAAATTTTATCAGTTATACGTCAGATGGACATTCGCAATCGAATGACGGACACGAGCTTTGGCAGTGACTGTGTGGCAAGAAGTTGTTAGTTGTTACGAAGCTGGATTTTGCACATAGATCAAGCTTTACATAAGAGATTTTGTAGGCCCTTAACTTTTTTTCGTTGATAGTTTATAACACGGTGTATTTCACATTAAATAAAAAAATTTAATTATTGATAAATAAAATTAATATTTTTATTAATTTTATTAATATTTTAAATAATTATATTTAAACAAAAATAATTATCATATGATAAATGTTCATAATTATTTGAATATAAATAAATTATTATTCATAAATATCATAATTAATAGAAAATCATAATCATTTGAATAAAAATGTATGTTTATTTATTCATTATAAATAAATATTTCAGTATAATCATTTTTATTATTTTTAATTGAAGAATTTAAAATTTTATTGTATTTCGAAGAGTTTAAGTTTTGTTGTATCTCAAAGATATAATTGTTTTTAAAAAAATATTTTTTATGCCTCAAAATCAAAAAATTTCTATTATTTTTTTATTTTTTATTTTTAATAATTTAAAAATAATTATAAAAAATTTATATTTGGCGTAAGAAAGATACGACCATTTTTTACTCAAACAAGCTAGGGATTTGGTTTCCTCAAGTGACAATCCCCAGAAAGCTCTTGAATTAGCACTTCGAGCAGCAAAATCATATGAATTTTGCGCTAATGGAAAACCCAGTTTAGAACTAGTCATGTGTTTGCATGTCGCTGCAGCAATATATCGCAGCTTAGGCCAGTGCAATGAGGCAATTCCTCTTCTTGAGCAATCAATAGAGATTCCAGTGATTGACGAAGGCCAAGAGCATGCTCTGGCTCAGTTTGATGGTCATATGCAGTTGGATGACACTTTTGCAATACTACGACAGCCTGAAAACTCAATAACTTGTTACAGCACTGGTTTTGAAGTCCAGAGACAAGTTCTTGGAGAAACAGATCCCAGAGTTGATGAGACCTGCAGGTATTTGGCTGAAGCTCATGTGCAAGCATTGCAATTTGGTAAAGCGCAGAGGCTATGCCAAATGGCTCTTGACATTCACAGAAAGAATGGTTCACCGGCTTCTCTTGAAGAGGCAGCAGATAGGAAGCTCATGGGTCTCGTATGTGAAACAAAGGGAGACCATGAAGCTGCTTTGGAGCATCTTGTTTTAGCCAGTATGGCCATGGTGGCAAATGGCCAGAAGGCAGTGGTGGCTTCTGTTGATTGCAGCATTGGAGACACATACTTATCTTTGTCTCGATATGATGATGCTGTTTTTGCCTATCAGAGAGCACTCATAGCTTTTAAGACAGCCAAATGAGAAAATCATCTAGCTATTGGATCTGTCTTTGTCCGGCTGGCTTATTTGTGTAACAGGACAGGGAAATTAAGGGAATCAAAATCATACTGTGAGAATGCCCTCCGAATCTATGAAAAGCCCATGCCTGGGATCCCTCCGGAGGAGATTGCAAGTGGCCTCACAAATGTTTCTGCTATTTATGAATCAATGAATGACCTTGATCAAGCAATCAAGTTGCTACAAAAGGCCTAAAAAATATACAATGATGCCCCTGGTCAGCAAAACACAACAGCTGGAATTGAAGCCCAGATGGGAGTAATGTATTACATGTTGGGGAATTATTCAGAATCTTACAACTCCTTCAAAAGTGCCATTTCAATGCTACGTGCATGTGGAGAGAGGAAATCTGTCTTCTTTGGCATTGCTCTCAACCAAATGGGGCTGGCTTGCGTGCAACGCTTTGCTATTAATAAGGCCATTGAATTGTTTGAAGAACCCAAGAGTATTATAGAGCAACAGTATGGACCTCACCACCCTGATAAGCTTGGTGTATACAGTAATTTTGTAGGCACTTATGAAGCCATCGGCATAATTTGAAGATCAATATTAAAGAAGGCTTAAGGTATTAAAGGATTAATATTTTTACGACCAAAATATTAATTTTTATGAAATCTTCATTAGAGGTATGTATTTTTATTTTTTGCATAATTACTAGTAAAAAAATTAACTAAATGAGATAAATACGTTAATATTTATTTAATTAATGTGTAAAGTCAAAACACAATATACAAAATATTAATTACATTGCATAAATTTATGCATATACTAAAATTGACTCTACAACTAAATTTAATGAATTGTATTATATTTATTTGAAAAATCAATACTTATTAAGACTAGGATGGGAAATAGTCTGAAAACATAAAGGAGAAAGAAATGAATTGATTTATGACCAAAAGAATTATCATTTTTTATCAAATAACAAATTAAATTAGGTTCTAATGGAATAGTCGATTGTTTAATTGTCATGTCTTGGTTATATATAGAACTGACAAATTGTTTCATAGTTTCTATGAAAATAATCAAAAATTGGTAAAGAAATTTACTATAAGAAATTAGATACAAGTAAAAAATTAATGTAAAAAATAAGATTTGACTACAAGATTAATTTTATTATTAAATCATGAGACCAAAATTGAGATAATAAGTTGAGTTAAGCTATTTGTATAGTTTTATCTTTATTAGTAGTTTATAAATTAAATGTTGATATATATAATTTATTATTGGTTCAAATTTTGAATAGCGTTCAATTTTCATGAAAATCAATAAAAATTAAATTGATATATGTGAGTAATTATTATTAAGATATGAATTAATTGTTGAATAATAAACCAAATAATTGTTATTATCAGAAATATGAGGAGTGTGACATGTATTTTACCTGCTAGGTGTATTGTACTAGAAGTGATTTTACAAAATAAAATTTCATTATGAACAATCACAAAGTGAAAATTACAAATAACCATCAAAGATTTAATAAATGGTTACTAAAAAGTATTATTGCTTTTTGCATATGAGATATTGATTAAACGAAAAGGCATGTCATTAAAAAATATTGATGCATTTGTTAGTTACTAGTATTTTAAATGATGCTCATCAATGTCTAATTAGGCATGTTTATAAATTAAAAAAAAATACAAATTCATCACTAATTTTTGCATGAAATATGAGTAGAACTTATATTATAATTATTGTTTATACCATTTTATGAAAATGATTCTTTAGATTCATGTTTCATGACTTACATTGATATGATAATCTAAAAATGAACATATTGGCTAAAAAAAAAAAAATCTCTTTTTTTTAACACTAAAAAATCTTTGAAAATTTTTTGATTGCATTTTGCGTGCTTTCTTTGATTTCTGCCTCTCTCCATAATTTTTGTGTGTTTGATTTGTGTGTGTTTCTATGTGGACATATATTTATAGAGTTTAAATTCAAAGAACCTTAAATTGAAAAAGAGTTCCACTTCCTTTTAAATTCTTCTTTTAGATTTTAAATTCAACCAAAATTCCGACAATCCACCTCAAACTCTTCAATCCAAGTTTTACCCAAACCCAACCACTGATTTTTCTTTTTCGTTTGTTCATATTTATTTATTATTTTTTAATTAATCAACAAGTAAAACCTCAGACAGATTGGGTTGTCTACAGCTGCCCCTCTTTGCACATTTTCTGTGAAACAAGAATTGTGTAAAAATGTAAACAACCAAATCACGAATCAACACATAGTTCTTTTTTTTGTTTTTCTTTTAAGCATACTCAAACTTTATAAAAACTCCTCTAAACAGAGACTTATATAGGCATGTTGGTCTTATGAGTGAAGTTTGAATTGATTATATATTCGAAAATATTATGACCAATTAAAAGTGATAAATAACAAAGATATATAGGCTACATAATGGTGAAGAAATAAAGTTTTCATAAAATTTTGAAATCAAGTTTAGAAGTTTTAATAATCCTGAACTTAGAATTAGCCATTTGGCAATTACTATATGCATTGAAAACTCATGATAACATTTGATATAGCTGATTTTCACTAAAAATCATCATTATAAATGATAACTTCAATAGCCAAATCTACATGACTTGTAAGTATGATATGGATTATTATGTTTGGTTTAAAATAGTCATAAGCCAAAATTAATGCCACAATCTGGATCACATTATGATAATTTTTTGTTATGTATATGGTCTAATTCATGGATTGTACAAATAATTTATCATCTATAGTTTTATATAGTGAAAATTTTAAAGTATATTTACTTTAGAAGCCATAAGTAATTCAAAGATCTTTTGAATTTGAAAACTTTTATAATGGCAAAAGTAATGATATTTGATCCATTTGGGTGATAAAAATATTTTTGTTCATGGTAATAAATATTATTAATAGTGTCCATGATGAAATAGATTCATATAAGTATTTATGAATTAACATAAAAAGTCTTAAAAAGATACTATAAAAGCATAATTATATTTAAAATCTGCTTATTAATGTAAACTCTTATATTGAGTTAAAATATAAAAATTATGAAACTTTTATAAAAATATTAAGATATTTGCTAGTTATTTTTTTATTAAGGGTGGATTTGGAAATCTCCTACTTAAAAAAAATCATCAAATAGTGAAAAGATAAATAAAATGATAACTTGATTAAATATATATGATATTTTAAAAATTAAGTGAGATATTCTTTAATAAAAGAATGCATACTTGCACATGGTGAAAGTGATAAGAATAAAAAAAATAAAAGTTACCACCATAATTTTGTTAGATTTTAGTATAATTTTATGAGCAAATTATACATGCTAATTAATAAGTTTAGACACTTATTAAAGTAAAGTCATAAAAAGGTTCTTAAAATCTTAAAAGGATTAAAATCATTTGGTTTATTCATTGATTTAATCTAATTGTAATAGAAGTATAATTGTATTAAAAATGTATAAAAGTATGAAAATAGAATAGTTGAAATTAATAAATATAGAATTGTTACCACAACCAAAATCAACTATTTCTTAATGATAAGAATGAGGCAACAATGTTTGGAGCATGTAAACGATATGTAAAATGAAAAGTTTAGATATATTAATCTGAAGTGATTATATTGAAAATTCAATCTCAAGTAAGGTAACTCCCATAAAAGACAATTGAATTTTAAGATATTTGGTTATTAGTACTACAAATAGAATGGATCTAAACCCTTACTATTAGACACTAATAATGGGAACCCAACTTTGAATTAGTAACAAAAGTTTAATAGGTAAAAATAAGTTATTATTATGTGTCTATTAAATACTAGTAAAATCCGTTTAAATTTTAGAAACTAGTTTAATCCATTGTGTAGGGAGGATGAGTTTTTATACTTTTAATAGAGTTTTAAATATTTAAAGCAATAAAGACATAATAGAAACTCTACCTATATAAACATATAAGTGGTGCCATTTTAACAAGAAGAATTGGAGTATCTCTTGTAAATATTTATGAATAGGATAAACATATAGCCATAATAGTGCTAAAAGCGGTTATAAATCTTTGACAAAAGAATAAATAAGTATTATGTGTATTATATATTCAATTCTAACACTAAGAGTTGAGGTTTAATTTGCAGATACCATCAATTTCGTTAGAATTTAAAGATATATATGCTAATTAAAGGTTTAAATCGAAAGATGCATTTTTGTATTTATAATATTTATTTGTGTGAAAGGTAAAAAATTAAACACTAACGTTCCAAATTAGTGGGAGATTGTTGGTAGTTTAGAATGTAGTGCATTTTACATTTGATAAAAAGATTTAATTATTGATGAATAAAATTATTTTTTGTATTAATTTTATTCATATTTTAAATAATTATATTTGAACAGAAAAAATTATCATATGATAAATGGTCATAACTATTTGAATATAAATAGATTATTATTCATAAGGGACATGATTATATAGAAGGTCATAACCATCTGAATAGAAGTTTATGTCTATTCATTCATTATAAATAAATCTTTCAATATAACTATTTTTATTATTTCTGATTGAAAAATTTACAACTTTGTTATATCTCAAAGGTATAATTACCTTTAAAAAAATATTATTCACGTCTCAAAGTCAAAATTCTTTTTGATTATTTCTTTTCCTTTATTTATTTTTTCTAACATCCTTTATGCACGTTAGCATGGACAATGGTTCACATTTTCTGCTTTGGCTGTTCAGTTTGAATTTTGAGACAGAGAAGGAACTGAAGTGTGTTTCGTGTGAGACAACCATCTGCGATGACAACCAAAATTCCCCCTAAAGATTCTATAGACAGAAAGAAATAACATCTAGAAAAGTAAAGTCCGCCCCATATTTCAATTTGCCAGGTCTCAGTTCTCAAAAGCAAAAAGCCAAAACTTGGTCACTAAGCAATGGGTCAATAATGGGACAGTCTTGCCATAACATGCACCAATAGTCCAACTGAATGATGACGTTTGTAATCTATCCTTCATTTGTTGGGTTAACACGTAACGGTCTGGTGATTATAATAATTCTCGGCGGTGACGTCCCTTCCATGAAATTCGCACGTAAATATAAGTTGTCGCGTGCATTAACACACTAATCATTCCTTCTGACAAGCTTCCGAGTCTGAAAACAAAGAATCTTGCTCGAAAATCCTCAGGTTCTACCGCTATATATATATGGGATATTAACCTTAAACCTCCAATCAATTTCTAATATTTCTGCATCAACACACTCTCACTTGGATTGAAAGTTGAAACAACAAAATGGGCAGAGAAAACTGGTCTGTTGTGGGCCGCCTCAAGAAAGCAGTGAAGAAGATAAACTCGCTACTTCGCTTAAACCTAACCAAATGGTGCATATCCTGCTTCCTCAAAAGCGCTTCCGGCAGGAGGAGACTGAGCCTGAGCTTTAATGATCGCTTGGGCTTGCATGGTTGCATTGAGGATGAAGAATCCAATGAAAGAGGATCGGTTCGAGCTCTTCAGAAAGTGACAAGTTATGCCGCAGATGATGATATCGACAAAAGGGCAGAGATTTTTATCTCCAATTTCCGTCGGCAGCTTCGGTTAGAAAAGCAGGTTTCCTTGCAGCTAAGGTACTGCCGAACTAGGAGTTTGGAGTTGGACGGAGACTAATCTCCAGCACTGAAGATATGCCAACATCAAGCGGATTGAGCTATAGCCTATTGTAAGTAGGCCCTATAAGATTTATCAAGAACGAGATTAGATTTACACTAGTATTTTTTTTTTTTTTAAATTTTGGCGACGTTTTATACCTTATTTATACTGCTAAATTGTTTGAAATTCCGGTATTGCTTGAGCTTTGATTGTAGTATTTGTTTTTTCTATCTTGCGTCTATTTTTGTGATGCAGGATTGGTTGTAAAAACTTGAACTGCATATCTTTTGTACTTAAATTCAGGGGCTTGTTTCAATAGGAATTCTGTCATTTTCCTTGCTTTGAGAACTTGCAATTCCGGTATATATATATATATATATATATATATATATATATATATATATATGGAGTGCAGGGATCATTATATTATTGTGGTTATGATTTTTTCATCTTATAATCTTAGTAAAATGATTTTCCACTCTGTTTCGTGGATGGTAATGTTTTATGTAGGACACATTTTATGAGAAAATACTTCTTCTTTGGCTATGCAATTTGTTGATGATAAAATGAATACTGTCATGATGCACTAAGTAACATTTCATGATAAATGTTCAAAATGTTTCGGTTCCTTTCAAATTTTTGCTACGTATATTGAATTTTTTGCAAGAACAAAGAGAATCAGGGGAAGATTAGTAGGAAGGAGAAAATACAACAGCTGAAAGAAATTGTAAAGAGTATAAACAAAAACTCAATGGCAACCTCGTTTCTCCACATGATGTTGATGATGAGAAATCTATAAGCTATACAAAGTGTTTACAAGTGAGTGTGAATCACAGGAAATGGTTCATTTATTTATATGTCTACCGAGTTTGAGGAGGAATTAATTCATTTGGCGTTAGTAGTTTCTTTATCTATGACAGTCTCAAATGCCCCAACCAGTGCTCTCACCTTGTTCTTCCTCTCTTCAAGTAGCTTACTGGCTGTCTCCTCGATCACATCATTGTACGGTGTTGCAGATTCCTTCCTCCCATTCCTTGCTTGTACTTGGCTTTTGGCGACCACATTTGCTGCCTCTGCCTCTAATTCTTCGACCATTTCTTCTTTACTCGATTCAAGGCCCTGCTGGCTCTCTTCATCATCCTCCTGCCTGCTTTCAAGTTGCTTTTCTTCTCCAATTTCTTTAGTAGCAGCCACCTCGTCAGTTGCATAATCTTCTCCTTCTCCTTCCTTCTCCTTCATCTTCAGCTTCTGTTTTGGCCTCCTCATGAGGAATCTTATCCTGGTGATCGTGACCAACATCGATCTCCTCTTCGCTGTGATTCTCCTTATCTTCATCATGTTGAGTATGATCAGATTTTCCTTCATGAAACTTATCTTCTACTTCTTCAGTCTGAGGCACATTTTGTTCTTGCGAAAGTACTGTACTAGAAATATCAGTAGTATCTTGTCCTTCTTCAATACTTTTGACTTCATTAGTATCTACAACATCCGGATGTTCACTTTCTTCAGCTTTCGGTATTTCGTTAGCATCTATCTCACCCTGATCATCTTTCAAAACCTCCTCAACTTGATGATTCAAATTTTCTTTATTTTCATGCTTGGTTTCAAGATTCTGTGCTTCTTTTTTATCATGACTACCTTGAGGTTTCTTTGAAGCCGACGAAGTACTTCCCCTCTTAGTGGTGGGACTATGGGTCTTCTTCATGCTCCTAGACGAAGATAACGTCTGCCGTTTTCCTGCATTTGGCTTTTTGACATCCCTTTCCAAGGTTGCCTTGGGTGCAGTAGTGGATTTCGAGGAAAAAGAAACAGGTCGGGATGCTGTTGGTTTCTCTCGACCAGGAGAGATAAGTGCCTTGTGGACTCGAGCAGCTGATGGAGGCCTATCAAAAGACCTTCTTCTGAGAAGATTAGGCCTTTGGGAGGTGTCTTCTGGCCCAGGCTTCTTTAAATTCTTGATAGCATCAGTGCGTGAGCTCATTGTAGGTTTGAGATAGTTTGGTACTTGTTTTTCAGTGGAAACTGGAGAGGGTTTTCTTTGGCCATGAGTGATGGAAAGTTTTGGAGAAGTGCCCCTCTTCTCTTTCCCCAAAGTGCTTTCTCTTTTAGTCGTTGCCATAAATTCTTGAGTGTCTCTGACCCTGAGCCACTAAGAAAATTGTAACAGAATCATGCATTATTATAAAAAATAAAGCATAACCAAGAGTGAGTGTGCCACCCAAAGAAAGTGCATCTGTGCTGAAAGGATCAAAATCCTCTTAAAAGAATCCTCTTTTCTTTGGTCGAAAAGAATCCTCTTTTCTATTAATCACCTGTGCATATTAGTACTAATTTCTATTAATCACCTATGCATATTAGTACTAATTTCCCTCTTATAAGAAAAAATTGCAGAAAACAATGTTGACTTCAGTTTGCTACTATAATTTCAACTCAAGCCATTTGTATAGTATATATGAGTACATATTGTATTTAGTATAATCACATTTTCAAAGTCCTCTCATTACATGAAAAATCCAGCCTTTTTCTTAAAGAAAAAAATGAATAACTTTCAAATCCAACATCACCCATCGTTAACAGAGAAGGCACTCCTATATATATATTACTCATTTGTCCTGTAGGAGAGGAACCTTTTTCTGTGCATATTTTGTGGAAACCTTTTTTTTTTTCTTTATGAAAACATCGCTATCATATTATTGCGTGAAAAATTCCTATCCCACCACCCTCAAGACAAGCAAAAGAAAATTTAACTTTGAAGAGAAAAAAATAAAAAGGCATGAAATGAGGATGGACATATAGATATGTAGCGTACCTTGATGATGAAAGCAAATTCGTGGAAGAGTGAAAGTGTAGGAACCAAGGATTGAAATGATTTGAAGAAGAAGAGTATATGAAGGAGCAAGAGAGGTTTCTTAGTTTGATAGAAGTAGCGTGAATTTCGCACAACTTAAAGGTAGTAATGGCTAGCTGTAGCGGTGGCATTGAGACCTTTGAAATTAAAACCATATTTTGTTCGTCAAAAACTAACCGATACATGCGGGGATTGTTGACCTTTTCAGCCCAAACAAAAGTACCATAGCTCAATAATTTCTTTGGTTTTAACGTGAAGGATAACAGCTTTGCACGTCTTAGGAAAATTGGTTGACGCTACCTCTATTTTTGTCATGTAATAAGCCTATCTGTTGTTAAAACATGACAGATATTATTACTATATATGTTGTTTAACCCTCTTATCAATTTCCGAATGCATATCATTTATTAGTACTGTAATACAATTAATCGATTATAAATTAATATTATATAAAGTTTATAAAATATTATTTAAAATTTATATTTATAAAGGATGAATTCTTGTATAATTTTTTACTACGTTTGATTAATTACATCATTATAGTAAATAAAATGGTTAGTGGAATGCTATCTCAGTTTCGTTTTTCTCATTCTTGACATGAAGTTAGCTTTAGCTTCAGCTATTCTAATATATATGCATTAGAAATATCTGAAACAAAAGGAAAATCAAATGCGTAGCCGCTTCTTCCATATGGAGGTAGCTAGAGCCAGGAGGGCCCCAAGCCAAGTCTTCCCCATCAAGAAAATGCAGGCAGATCATGATTAATGCTATATGATAAGTTGAAGATTTGATTTGAATATATAACCTTTCCAGTTTGTAGTCACTATAAAATTTAATTAATAATTTCCAAGTTTAGAACATGTCACCCACTTAGGCCCACTACTTTATTTATCAACTCTATGTAAATTGAATGGAAATTAAACCCAAATAACATGTTTGGTTTCTGCTTCTTCGAACTCTCTATGAAAACAAGATGAAATTGCAACGAAAAAAAAAAACAAACATGGTTTCTGCTTTTGTCAAGTGATAACCATTCAAAGCACTTTCTGTTGTTGGTTAATGATTGGGTAATTCCTACAAGGCTTTGCCCACAAGTCATTCTAAAACACGGCCCTTATGCCTAATACTATACGTTTATTAGTGGCTTAAGCCTGCCGGTATGTAGTCTCCTCTAATCACTAATTATTTATTCATTAATGTCTGTCCACATATTGCTGCCTTTGTTCAACTTTTTTTAAGAAAAAAAGAATATATTTATTTAGTTTCCAGGTCATCGGGAAAGCTAATTACATCTATTTTTATAGTCCAAAGCTTATCTTAATGTGAATATATTAATTAATATAGCTAACAAACGACAAGAGCTTAAATTAAACATACAAATATAAAGTAATTCTAGCGTTCCTACGGTGGGGTCTTGGACCTCACCTTTTGTTACAATTGGCAGGCATGACATGCAGCTTATATATATATATAGATAATTTGAAAATAAAGAAAAAAATTACAAATTACAAAATTTAAATTGTTGAATATTATTTTTAAAAATGATTCCCTTTAGGCAAATTAAATAAAAGTCCACCAAGGTCTTTGTCTAATACAATTAGCAACGAAAATTGGGTTTAAAGAGGAATTTGTCCATCTAATTACTAAATGCTTTCAAGAAAATGCAAATGTCTGACAACAATATGTCTCCAACTTTTTCAGTTGATCCATTATGTTGTTTATCATGCTTGGGATTTGGCCACATTTTAATGATGGAGCATTCCTCTTATTCAAAAATTGTTTCCATTGGTTGATCGAAGTGGTTAAACAATATAGCATAGTATACCAAGAAGAGAAGAAATATTATTTCTTTTTCCTTTCTGTTTTCATTGCCAAATCCATAACAATATCATTATCCCACTGGGGGAAAATTCCAATACCATTAACAAAAAATAGAAAGAGTCACACCTGGGGCTCATAATTCTAATCCAATACAAATTTGACCTAAACATTTTCAATGAATTGGGGACGTTTTGCATCATTTCTTCTTTACCCAATCGATTGCTGATTTTGATTTTTCTTTCTAGAAAAAACGATTTGGTGAGGAAAGCAACTGGTCGTATAAATTCCATCAAGTTGGCAAAGAAAAAGGCTTTTTTTTAATGGCTTAGTTGGTTAAATGACTAGTTTTCAACAATTATAAGTTCCTTGAGAACAATTCTTAGTGCAAATTGACCAACGTTTCTTGATTCAAATGCATTCACACCCTTCCTCAACATGATTTCTTCTTCTTCTTCTTCTTATTATTATTATGTGCTTTGGTTAAAACCATTTACTGATCAATTTCAAATGAATAATCGATCATTAATTTGTTGACTAGTCACATTTTGCCTACCATCTTTATTAATTCAATCTTCCAATAAACTCAGATTGAAAGGGTTCATCTTCTCAACAAGTGAACAAAATATTTTTTATCATCTCAACTATGAATTAATTAATTATTAATATTTAATTTTTTTTCTTTTTTGGACGAAAAACATGTGGTAAAAAGATTAGGATATTAAAATTATAAATACACAACTGAAATTAATTCATATTTTTGTTGGCCCAAAACAGAAGTCCTAAGTTCATTTAACCAAATTTGTGCTTACCGAAAATAATGTGAAAAAATTATTAAAAAAAAGAATTTGAAACATTAATTGGATCATCAAGTGGTCATTATATATATATATATTAAATTTTGGAGTTTCTGCAAATGGTAAAAGATTTTAAATTCAGATTTGCTCCAAATTTCTAGTATGTTAATGCATTTGTTTTTATAATTAGCAAAAAATTATTGCTACTAAAAGGGATTATTGTTTTTTTATTATGTAGCTAATCAAAACAGTCTAGTACACATGCAACGTTAAAAAAAGTCAGAATCAGATTAAGAATACGTTTTCAATTTCAATTGCAGGGCGGTTTCTGCCTTTCTGGTGGCTTCTTGTCTTTTTTTTTTTTTAATGGTAAATGGGCTACGTGTGTACTAAGCGTATAATATGCAGGCTGTGGTTGAGGAAAGCAAGTAAAGAAAAGGACGTTGGACCCACGGCCTTTAAGCGCGTGTTTGGACCCAACCAATCCCCCGTACCTATTTATCTACGTTTTAAGTGCGCCTTACTTACTGTAATAAAATTCCTTGCTTCTTGTATGAGATTTTGTTCGTCCATGAAATATCAGTAAAAAGTTTTTTTTTTTTATAATTGATTAAGTTAATTAAGTAATCATCTATAAATTCTAAGTTGGTGCCGCGTTATTAAATTTTGGAATCAATTCTTTCCATACCAATTCCTTCTTAACAAGAAAAATATCTCTAATATTAAACTACTTTTCTAAACTATAATTTATCACACATATTTATGTGTAGGTGAAAATTAAATAAAATTATTAAATATATTAAAAATGCATAAATAAAATTAATAAGATAACATATATTTTTTAAGATATATTAAAAATAAATATGTTTTAATTTTTTTAATTTTATTTGTAAAATTAAAAATTTAATTGTTAGTGTATGAAATAATTTTTACAAAATAAATATGTTTTAAGTTGTATTTTAAAAAGGCAGGTAATTTTTAGTGAGTACTTATTTTTTTAATAAAAAAAATTTTAAAAATATATAATATAACACTCATTATGGGGATGAAACCATATTTTTTATTTTAAAATTATATTTTAAAATAAATAACGCATGAAAAAAGGTAATTTTTTAAGTAAAAATATGGATTTTTTTAAAGTGGATAGTTACTTTACAAATATCTTTAATTTTATTTGGTTTTTATGTGATTTTGTCAACTTTATTAATGTGATTTGACTCGTTACACCAACTTAATAATTTTAAATAATATAAATGAGAAGTTTTATAATAAAAAATAAATATCTTTAATTTAATTTTATTATTGCAACTTTTTAAGTTTTATGTTAATTTTTAAATTGAGTTAGCGTGATGAGTATGGTTGGTTTGTGATATCAACTTAGTTAGATACTTTAATATTAATGTAAATATTATTAATTCTTTTAAAATTAAAATGTAAATAAATTATTTAATTTTTTAATATATTCTGATTCATTAACATAAACAGGATATCTAAAATTGCAATTTAAGTGTGAAATCACATTTTAAAACACAAAAACTTGGATATTAACATAAAAGGCAAAATAAAAGGCAAATAGGAGAACAAAATTTATCAAAAATTTGAAAGTAACTTGTGATATTAACCAAAAGCATAAAAGAAAATGGGAATTTGAATAAAAAAATGACATTCTCAAATGTGATTTTAAAAAATCAAAAGAAAATGACGCAATAAATAAAGATAAAGAAAATAAATAAATAAATAAAGCAAATAAACGCCGCAGATGCATTTAAGAAAAAATGCCTTTCAAGTCAACAACATATGTAAATAATAAGGAAAAAAAATTAAAATAGGTGTCAATTTCAAATTTATTTTTTAAAAAAGTGTCAATTTCAAGTGATTAAAGGCCACGGTGATCTTTGGCCCAAAAAAAAAAAGGCCATGGCGATGAAACCAACGCGTGTCTCACACTCCGCCCTCACCATTCAGTAATGTTTGTTTTGCAGTAAGTAGTAGTATTCGTAATAGTAGATATATATTATAAATCTAAGTTTTGGAAAAATAAAAAGATAAAATGGAAAATGGAAAAAGCAAGAAAACAGAAGATAAAAGACGAGGTAGGGGCGGCTCAGCCGTTGGCGTGGGGTTCTGGTCGGTTTCGGTCCACAAAATTAATTCCATTTTAAGCTGCTTTTCTAATTTTTGGGTTTTTTTATTTAATTTAATTTATTGAAACAAAAAGCGGGACCCACAGAATTGTGGCGCCGTTGATCTTTGACCCAAGATCAAGGGTGTCGATGTCACCCAACACCAATTTGGTGTGTTAGGAAGGGGACGGCAGCACATTGCGATTGCATAGTAGTATTAAATGCATTAGGAATTTGGTTCGCAATTGCAGGCAGCGTTCGATCATTGTTTCATACACGTTTTCATATTCTCTCCTACTTTAAAGCCCCTTTTCTTCTTCCTCTTCTTTAAGACTTCAAAGCTCTCTCTCTCTCTCTTTCTCTTTGCTGTATATTCCAAGAATCAAAAGGAGAAGACGGAGAAGCAAAGAGGTAGAACACGATTGCCTTTCCTTCATATTTAATGTCCTTTATTTGTTTCCTTGCTCTCCTTTCCTTTTTTCCCCTTTTATTCAATTTTTTTTTTTTGGTCTCCATGAATCTCTTTATCACCACACACGCAGTTTGATCATCATTTCTATCAAATTCTTATTTTTTTATAGCTCTTCTTGTTTTGAAGAAAAAAAAATTGTGGGTGTTTGTTTTAATCCAAGTTTCTATATATATAATATCTATAAAGATTGATTATTTTTGATGACTTGATCATTCTGCTTTCCAAGAATAATTTGGTAATTGATTCTCACAAATTTCTGTATGGGGGCTTGGAAGGGAAAGGGGTGGACAAGTATTGAAGAAATCTTCAATATGCGTTTTCCTTTTTTTGGTTTCCTTTGTCTATTATAATTTTAAGTTTAATTTCGTTTTTAAAGGTTTTATCAGCTTTTTCCACCCTTAAATCACGGATGAAGTCTCTTTTATTTTTAGAAAAAAGAAGAAATGAATATATATATATATATATATATATATATATAAATCATTGTGTGGAGAATAATTCAAACAAAACATCGGCCTTTGAAAACCATAGAGAGAGACCCAATTTTGTTGGGATCAAATACAAAACTGGAGCATTTGACCATCTAGTTTCCTGCTCTTTTTTTTTCTACTTTCTTTTCTTCATATTTACTTTTCTGATTTATTTATTTACTTTTTGTTTTGAGAAAACACCCTAAAGTTCTCGCTTTGAACATGTTTGATCCTTTGATAACAAAGGTGTCTCATTCTTTTATGCCTTTCTTCCTCTTTCCTGTGTGTTCTCAAGTATCTAACTTATCGGATCAATTCAGTTTTGAGGTGATTTTATGTTGGATTATGGCATCTCTTTCTGTGAAGTCCTGTTTAGAATTCATAATTCTGTTATGCAATTCTAGCATAATTTCTTTTTGATAGAAGGAAAATAAAAATTTATCTCTTGGTGAATAAGCTGCGTAGATTGTAAAATAGAATTGAGTTTCTAATTTGGATTTATGACTAAGTTTTTGTCTTTGTTAACGGTTTGTGTTATTTTTCCTTTTCCTTTGGGGGGAGGGGGGGGCAATGGTTACAGTGATACATATTATTTTAGGTTGAAAATAGGTTGCAAAATTCTCTTTATGGTTCCAAATTTGAGTATCTTAACTATTGCTGCCAGTCACTGTCTGTTGGGGATTTCTTGAATTTAATAGGTAATTGCATTGCTGATTGATCGGTTATGATTATGTTAATGGCACAAAATCTTATCTTGTTTAAGTTATAAATTAAATAATTTGAAGGTACTAAATTTGGTTTTTGTTCAGAAAAGGCCAAGGACCTTTTGAGGTTGGATTTATGTACGTTAGTGTTGCATTGAATGTTTCCCTGCTATGTAAGTTTAACAAATGGCTTATTTTTTAAAACTTTTAAGTTTTTATGGAAGTGAGTGTTGAGAATTATCTTTTGGAATGAAGTAAGGTTGTTGTTGGGAACGTGGTTGAGCTCCTGTTATTGGGATGGCTAAAGAGGCAATGTTTTGTTTTTAATTATTATCTTACGTCCAATAAATTTTGACTGATTCATGCAGCGTAAATGCTGTGTATTCTTGCAATTAGGGTTTTTAGGTTTTTCTTTCCCCTCTTGAGGTAAAGTTATGTCATGGTGGAGGATTTCTTTCATTATTGTATGATACATTTTTTTGCTGTATTTCCAGATATAAAGGATTCTTGTTACCTAGATGGATGGATATACTGGTAAAAGAGCTGTTGATGAGCTTGTTATACGCAGCAAGGGATCAGGTCTCATCTTGAAGGATCATGGTAATAACAGAGAACGAAATGCTCAATTTTGCAACCGTATTGGATGCAGTGGCAGGCTGAACTCCACGAAAGGCATTCCAAATGGCTGCTCAGAAAAAGCCAAATCTTCGAAGCCTTCTTACCGTCCTTCATCAAGTGGCAAGGAAATTATTGGAAGTTCGTCTAGGGTATACACTGCAGTTAGCAACAATAGAAAATCCTCTAAAAATCTTCAGAAAAAGCCATCATTTCAATTGGAAACAGATTCATGTGAAACTATTAGTGTCCATGATGAACCAGAAGTGTCAGAGCTCGTATCCCCACCAGGAAAGATTCAAAGAGGGCTGCAGCCTGAATCTGAAGATGCTGATTCTAGGGAAGTTACAGTGATGGAAGTGGGAAGCTCTAGTGTAGCATCAAACACAAGACAAAGGCGGAACTTTATTCAGAGATCTGGGTCGGGCAACCAGGATACTCGGGCCAGTCCATCTGTTACTTTGGCTTCTCGAAGTGCTTCCCAGGCAACTTATGCTAACACAAGCAGGTATGGTTTGAGAAATCTAAGATGTAACTCTATTTCTGATGTTGACCCTTCTGGTTGTTCGTCATCGGATTCAAGCCTCAGTAGAAGGAAAGACACTGTAAAAAAGAGAAACTCTGATGGAGATGGTAGTTCCTCCTCCAGGGGAAAGAAGTTGAGTGGGTTATCTTTGGAGGGACGGAACAACAGTTCTAACCATGGTGTTTCTATTTCTGATTCAAGGCAAACCAGAAATTGGCCTCCTAACAGGGATAGTGGTGTTGCTTCTTCAGTTAGGACTCGGAGATCAAACAGTAGTTATGGTAGAGGGAGACTCTCTAACCAAGCAAATGGAAATAGTTTAACTTTGAATGAGTGCCCCGAAGTTATTCCTCAAGTGCCTCAATCTGATATTCCTATTGATTTGAATGGTCCTGTTTCCACAGAAACTGCCTCAATGCTTTCCAGTTCTTACGGTAGACCAGGTAGTATAAGTGAGAGTTTACTCAGTATTATGCCTTCTAGTCCTTCAGAAGTTGGCATTAACCGCTCTGCAGTGAACCGGGGTAGCTTCCGACGCTACAATATGGATGGCATTGCTGAGGTATATTAAATGGATATTTCAACCTGCATTGTCCTATGCACGGATTTATAAGTTGGTTGATTTTCATTTTATTTTTCTTTCTGTGGAACTTGGGAAAGGGACTGAGTAGGGTTGCAAATATCTTTTACCAATTAATATTTCAAATCATATGGTGTTACAGAGTTCTCTCTAGGGAGAGGCAAAAATGAACCATTAGTAGTTTGTTTGCAGTATTGAATTACTGAAGCTTCATCTGTTACTATTCTTTTATGTTTACCCAGGTATTATTAGCACTTGAGAGGATTGAACAAGATGAAGAGTTGACATATGAGGTAACTAGTTTTGAAGTGTCTCACTTTACCTGATTGTTCTCTTTTGTTGATTCTGTTTCGGTCTTGCAGCAATTACTTGTTCTAGAGACCAGCTTGTTCCTTAATGGCCTAAACTTTTATGATCAGCATAGAGACATGAGACTGGATATAGATGATATGTCATATGAGGTTTGTTTTTGTTTCACTATGTTGGTTCCAAGTTTGCATTTTATTTTCTCTGCTCTATACTTATTAAATATAAAATACGGGACTTGCTTTTCTTGCTATTCATGACAGGAATTACTAGCTCTAGAAGAGAGGATGGGTACTGTGAGCACTGCTCTATCGGAAGAAGCAATGTCCAAATGCCTTAAGAAAAGCATCTATGAGGCAACATCTTCTGAGGATGCAAATGTCAGCTGTGATGGTGAAAAGGATGATGTCAAATGCAGTATATGCCAGGTCCTTTTCTGTTTAACTTCCACCCTATCAATGAAAACTTTATTCTATTTATTTTTCTCTGGTCATCTCTGGATGTGACTGCAATGGTTTCTTGACTGGTTTCACTTCAACTTACTGGAATTCATTGGTTTTCCTTTTGCAGGAAGAGTATGTCACTGGAGATGAATTAGGGAGGTTGCAGTGTGAGCATAGGTATCATGTGGCATGCGCACAGCAGTGGCTGCGGGTGAAGAATTGGTGCCCTATTTGCAAAGCATCAGCAGAACCCACGGTGTCTTCTTCGCCCTCCTCATAATTATGTTGAATTTGAATAGAAAGCAAAAGACTGAGTTTTCTTTTGTACAAATTGATGGCTTATCTTCAGCATTTTTTATTTTATATGATCATATGTAAATATCAAATTCCTTTCATGTCAGTGCAGCTAATAAACCAGGTGCTTTTGGCTCTGCACTGGAACTCATTCACCCATAAAAGAAATGTGAATTAAAATACACATGTTACTGCTGTTGTTTGACCGTGATAAGTTTTTCTCCTTGGTAAATGTCAGTTAGGTGCTTGATTTACTCGTTTTTCCATCCCTTAATTGCTAGCAAATCCAAGATCTTTTACTTCTGTGGTTCTCTCAGACCATTAGATGCTATAGGACTTTGCTGATATTTGAAGCTTGGATAAACTGCGATACAGGATCTTATTGACAGTAACAGCTATGAGCCATTTCCCTTTTCTTTATTCCCTTATTTTCCCCTGTAACAAGTTATATCAGATTCTGCATAAATTCCCTCTTTTATATCATTCTATGCGGTCGCTTTTGCAATTAAACTCCGTCTTCTGCTTCTTCTGATTCTATTAAATGGGAAGCACCTGACGAGCAATGCAATGGCTTTGACACTGTTTTGATGGCAGTCACCTTCTTGTTCCTTTCTTTAAGCTATGCATGCCATTCATTTACACCGGTTGTACGGTTTGGTGCTTTTACCTACATTTTTCAGGTTCGTGCATCTGAGGAGGTATGGGATTGCATCAAATTGGAATAAGACATGCATGAATTTCAGAATACTCTCTCATTTAACCAGAGCTCCAAAAGTAGAAACCTTTGTCTATATTTTGTAATGAGAAGGTTGTGTCGTTTTTTTCTTTTGGTTCCTTTGATCAAAGGTTGTATGTTTTATTCGGGAATTGAAAACAATATACTTCTTATTTATATACCAACTTGAATCTTCAAAGTTTTAGGGATTCCAAGGATTGAAACTTATTTCAAAATTTCTGTATATAAAATGGTTGAATTAAATTCTTCCCATTTGAACGGACCTTAAGAGACTTAAAGTTCATATCAGTGTGCGAAGAGACGTGTAAAACAATCCCTTCATCAGAATTCAGGACCAATATTATAATAGAAAATCTAAAAAATCTACGGCCAGGGAAGAACATGGCTAGCAACTTGATTGCAGGAGAAATGTTGTAACCGACAGGTGCACAAGATTTCTTGGTTCATCATTCATGTCATTGCTCTAGGTTTAACATCATAATTACATTGATCTTCTCAAGCATTGCTCGTAACTATCAACCATCAAAGTTAAAACGTATATCAAAGTTCGGGAGAATTCATATTTTGATAATGTCCCAACATAATTCCTTCATGATCATACCACAGAATTAGAAAGGCTGTTCTCCACCATCAGCAAGCGCAAATTACATACTTTTCAGGTGCCATCATTCACTAGTTCATCAACTGAAACTCAATACTAGCCGCATGGTCCAGATAGCTTAAATGGCTAACAAGGTTGATGCTGATAACAAAAACAAAGCATTGTGACCCATCTACATCATGATACAAGCAAGAAAAATGGAGACCAAGATAACTGAACTTTCACCGAGACCCGGTTGATCTCCTCTGCAGCTTCAACAGAAATAGTATAAATTTCTATATTTAGGGAAAAAAAAAAGCTAACAACATATTCGTTGGTGTTGCAGTAAGTTCCATTACTTTTTCATATCAAGCGCATGCCTGATCTCTTCTCATCATCACAAGTGATGTAAATGTCTTCATACTATGAATTAGCCAATCCCTTCAGCTTACTAATGTTTAATAGCAGCTGCCTGATTGAGATTTTCCCCAACCTCAAACACACGATTAGGCAACCCATAGGTTAAAAAAGTAACAGAACACCAAGCACCTCCTTAATGAGTTCCAAGAATAAACAAATCAAATAGAGAACGACTCAGTATATGCATAACAAAGGAACAAACATTACCATAAAGAATTAAAAGGAGTACTTACCATCACCAACTTTTGCACAACTAATGGTTACAGTGTTTTCCTTTGACATAAATTAAAGTGCAAATATAACTGAGAACACAGTTTTCCATTTTTCATGTTATGATACACTAAGTAACAAAAATGATGAAAAATCCCAAAGTGAAGAGGTGAAAGGTGCAAACCTAACTATCTAAAAACATGAAAAAGAATTCCAAAAAACAATTTTACTGAAAACCAGCTCAAGAATAAAGGACAACTCAACAAAATAAAGCATATGTATGCTATCAATTACAAAAAATGACTGCAAAATTGATACTCATATCTAGAGCAGAGTGAAGTCGAAGAAATGTTCAAGTAAGCACTAGCAAGTAAGCGTGCCTACTCCAACTGAACAGGGAAGGATTGTTGATACAGAATTTTTCTCATCCCATATTGAGAAACTTTTACCCCTTTCAATCACATGCAATTCTGTTCATCTACCTCTGTCCTTTTCCTGTTCCAGATAGCCAGACATCAGAATGCAGATTGGATGATTTAATCCATAAAATACTTGCAGAAAATTGCAAGCATTCTGCAATAAACCTAGCATGATGGTTTTGCAGGGAACAAAATATCCCCACATGTAGAGCTTAAGATCAATTAATAACTGCTTGACATTGGTAAGCTCAGAATAAGCAACTCATGAAATTTGTTACATTAGCTAGCCTGAGACCAAGTCACTAAACAACCAACATGGTAATTTGATAATCAACTGATGTAGTAGACTTGCCATGTTTAATTCAATATATATATATATATATATATATATATATATATAGAGAGAGAGAGAGAGAGAGAGCTAAATGGAATTCAAAAAAGGGGCAACTTCATACATCTAATCAACAATAAGAACAGTAGTTAGAGCACTATGATAAACTGTAAGCCACCAAATGTTTTAAATGACAATTAATTACAATTAGCAAGTCATAAACTTCACAAAAACATAGAATCAGAGCTTAGCAAATAGATTTTCAGCAGTCATCCAGCGGAAATATCTAATATTAACCACCATGGACAATTTAATGGATGTCGTTTTGTTATTAATATTGGAACTCAATCAATTCTCAGATTTTAAAATTACATACAGAGCAATGCTGCAGCTCTTACATAAATAATTTTACCTTTCACCAAGCTACAAGACAGTATCCTTGCAAAAATTTCTTAGATTTCCTCCTCATTGGCTGTAAATTACAAGAAGAGCCTGAGATCTGTTGAGATGGCAGAAGACAGCCAACAACAATGCTAATCGTACAACAGAGCAACCAGTTGTAAGCACTACCTTTTCAAGCACCTTAACTCAGTTGCTCAAAAATATTTTTCTGATCCATACCAGCTCTCCAGCAGGGGTACAGGCATCCCCACACTCAAACCCATAATTTCATCTTGCAAGGGCCAGAGCTTTATCTGACTGGGCACCATCTGGTTCATGTTGGTAATGAATTCAAACTGGGAGCTTCAATGATCAACATTTTTCAAGCACATTGAACAAGGATAAACAAAGTTTTGCCGGTCATTCATTCTTCAAATGAATGCATACAAATTTTTTCCAGCAGTAAAGGCCAATCTTCACCCAGCTGCTGGGGATTTAGCTCCATTGCCACTTTGAAATCAAGCAAAGATATTGAGCACCGCTGCCCCTGTTCCTGCAAAACTTCTGTGGGCCCAGAGCTACTCTGCGTATGCAAGTGATTACTTGACCACATACCATTAACAAGCTTGCCTTGAGGCTGCTGCTTGTGGGCAGAATGCTTTCTCAATTCATGTGTAGACCTTGATCCCACAAGATCAACGCATGACCTGATCAGTTTCTTCAAGTATACATCCAACATGTTGTTCAACATACTAGCACAATCCAAAGAAACCCCTCCAAGGCCCTGTGCTACTGCAATCTGCTCCATACGTTTCTTCAATGTCTCAGTATCATACAAACTGCCACTGTCATAGTAGCTAATGAAGTCGCCACTGGTTACCACTGGCCGAGCTTTGCAGGCCCCACCAACACTAGCTGAGCAAAATGGAATCCCAAGCGGTGCAAGCAGAGGACTTCTAGAGAGATTAATGTGGTTAGCTGGCTCCACATCCTCCCAATCTTCAAAAATGGCTCCTTCAGTCTGGCCTTTAATAAGCACCCTTGATTTTTCTGTAGAACACAAGAAACCTTCTCTTTCAATTTCAGGTTGCTCGGCAACTGCTTGAAGATGCTGCACTGGCCTCTGATAATCATATGGTGTCAAATCCCCATTTTCCATACCCAATTTATTGCCATTGTCTTCCATACCCATGGATTGATGTGAGACACTCTCAACCTTTCCATTTGGCCCCAGAGGGCTGGGCCTATCCCTGAGTTTTCTATCCCGTATTCCAGACCTAACCTTTCGTGGGGACAGCACTGGCAAAACCCCATTTGACCAAATGGGCACGTTTGTATTCTGGTTAGGAACAAGGGATCCAGTTGGTTCATGTCCATCATCTCTACCAGAACTTATCACAGTTTGTATCAAAGATTTCACAGGAGCCGCTTCATGAACTGGTGGTGGAGTCTTAGCCTGACATGCATTTTTTAAGATTGAACGTATCAACTGATTATGCAGAGGCAGATTCTCCCTTCCAAGAATACGGTAACATGACTTATCGAAATCACTTTTACTGAGCTTCTGACTTAGAAAACTCCTCAAATAATAAAAATACCTTTTCGACCTCTCAGCCCCAATCTTCTTCACTATCTGACTTTTCAATTCACCTAAATCAATTCTGGAGCCCTGCTGGGGTTGCATTGCTCAATAAGCAGATTCCCACACCATTCACAGAACTACAAAACCACTTAAACCCGTTTCCACCCCAATTGACAGTTTTCTCCAACACCAAACGAGTCCAAATCCACCAATTTGCATACCATACAATGCGAATCAAACCCTCAATCTCTGCATATTGAGAGTAAAAGAACAAGCATGAAATCCCATAGAAAGAAAAAAAAATTCAGAATTCCCGAGGTAGATAAGAGTTATTTCAGTTTCCAAACATCCCTAAATTAACCCACGGAGAAACCATACAATGCAAATACAAATCTCATCTTCGCAGAACCAAAACCCTAGGGATCAAACTCCACTGGAGTGATAAATAGAAACCCCACCAAACAAAGCCCAATTGAATAACGCGAAGAACAAATCAAAACCCTAGAGTTGGAATCACCGAACTTAACAGCGCGTCGTCTCAAGCCCGGAACAGCACGAACCGAAAATAAAAATCACTGCTGCAATTAAAACCCCCAAGTATTTTTTTACAGGCAATTCAAAACAAAAAGAAAAAGTAGGGAATGGAATTGGAAAATTGAAGTTGAAGGAAAGAGATCAGTGGAGTTGGAAGGATAAGAGTTGAGGAAAAGAGCATGAATTGAAGCGAAAATAAGAACAATGAAGAGCGAAAAAAGAAGCTCCAGAGTAATTAAAAACAAGGTTAAAAGATTGATAGAGGGCTGACCTTAGACAACTTGCTTGACCAATTGCAGAGAAATCGAGTGCCACTGCAGTTCCTGTTTGGGGTTGGATTGTTCGCAGCCTCGATTCTTTTTGGCTCCCTCTCTCGATTTTTTTATTTCCTTCCTTTTTTTTAAATACTATATAATTTGGAGTGCAATTTCTTATTCCTCGTTTTTTTTTTTTTTCGAGCTTTCCCCTTCCTATTGATTTGCTATTTTATTTTCAGCTCCGCTTTGTTTCGTTTTAGCTTGCTCGCTCGCTGCTACTATTTTAGTTTCTCTCCTTTTTTTTTTTTTTTTAAATAATGTGTCTCTCTTACTTCATTTCCTGGTTTTTTTCTTTCTTCTCCCTCTCTTCTTGCTATGTCTAATATTGTGTTATTTTTATTGCAAACAACTTGTTTTATTTTTATTTTAATTTTATTTTCCTCAATTTCTTTTTTTTTTCAAATCTTTGTTTGTGATATTTGATACTACGTTTTTGGAAATTGCCATCAACTTTTGTTATGTTTTCAAAAAATTAAATTTGGAAAAAGAAATTTAGTACTACTATGAAATAGATTAAAGGGTAAAAATAATTACAAAATTTTTATAATTCAATAATTATTTAAATTTTTAATATTTTATTACATAAATCAATTTCTTACTATTATATTATCTCTCAATTAAACATTTTAAAAAATAAAATTCAATTACGTGAGATACGTAACTTTGAATATCATTAACTTCATGAACAGAAAATTATTTGAAAACGTGACACATAATGTGAGACCTAACTAAATTTTGTTATTTAAAATTTTAATTAAAATAAAATAAAAAATTTAATTAATTATAATAAAATATTATGAATTTAAATAATTATTATATTATAATTCAAAAGCTTTTTTTATTCTTTTAGCTTAAGCAGTAGTGTTGCATCTTTAAAACATAGATAACAAATGTCGTCCCCAACATTGCAATTGAACACAGCAAAAAGGGGACTGTATTGTCGTGGTAATGTTTGGATTGATATTAGTTGGCACTTTCGAGGGAAGCAGAGCTTAATCGTCAGATGGCGTTCAACGTTGTCCTCAAATTGACTACTTTTTTTTTTTTTTTAAAGATACTTTCATTAATTAACTAACATAATGTTTGATAAATCACATTAACAATCCAATCACAGTCTAAAAAATTTAAAATAAAGTCTAGCACATGTTGATACATAGAAAGTCTTACAGCACTAATATCGTAGATCGCAACGGATAATGTACTCGTTAGTTTTGTTTATTTGTTTTTGAATTTTGGTATTTATTAAAATATTCAAATCCAATAATTATTTGAACAATTTTATTTGTGCTATCCGAAATTTATTCATATAATATAAAAAATACTCGTTAATTATCCGAATTCATAAAATACCAATTTATTAAATTAATGTTTGACTTTTAAATTTAAATTTGAAATTAATTTTATTACATATTATTAAAAATTAAATTAATAAATGAAAATCAACTCATACAAATAATTGAAATTAAAAATCTTAATTAAAACATTTAATAAATTAATTTTATTAAGTATCACATTAATTATAAATAAAATATAATCATACTAAAAAAATTATTTATAATTGGGTTCAATAATGAACATACTAAAAGCACTGTTGAGTCCTATTTGAATCCATGACAAGCAATGAGGGTGAAGAAAATATAAAAAATAAAAAATTGATTCAAAATATAATATTTAATTCGAATCAAATTAATTTTTTTATTGGTTTAAATTAAATTTATACATTAAATATATATATTAGATTTATATTGAATTTTGAATAAAAATAAAATTATATATTTTTATTAATTTATATGTATTTTAATTTTTTATAAAATAAAATAAATATTTTATATCTTAATTTATTTAAATATATTAAATTTTATATTCAAATAGTATAAAATTTAAAAATTAATTTGAGAAGTCCGATAAATCAAATCAATTTAAACTAATAAAATTTTATTCAAATCATATTAATTTAAAAGAAAATTTCAAACTAAATTCAAATTTAAATTTAAAAATTTATAATATTATATAGTAATCAAAATAACCGAATGAAAATAAAATCGAACCATACCGTAGTTGCATCTAAGAAATAATAAATTTACTATTTGAATTATACTTGACCCCGATCCTAATTCTACTTAATCGGTTTAACGAAAGGTAATCATTTAAAAGATACCCATTGCCATCCTAAGCACCACTGGGTCCTTGCTTAACTAACGCGTCAACGCTGATATTTACCCCCCCACCTTAGAGTCGTCGAACCTCCGAAGCATAATCTTACAATCCATAACAATGAGAGAAAGAAAGTGGTTACCATTGTTTGTTTTTCCCAAAAATAAGGGATTTAATAGCTTTCTGATAGCCTAATTGAATCGCTAGAGATAGTCCATGTCTCACGGTCCAAAGTTCATTGGCAAACCTGAGATCCATTGCCCATTATGATTTTTTCTTTGCCTTTAGATTAAATATAAGAAAATCTCTATTCATTTCTAATGAGCGGAACAATTATTTGATTTGTTTGCCTAGGGTAGAGAAGTAGCCCAATATATAGGATAATGTACATAACGTAAGAGTCAGCCCAAAGTGTTTATTTGAAGTAGATTTGCGTATAGCCCATTTTCTGTAGAAAAAGAGAAATTCGAAGGCCCAATACCTGAAAAATTTGAGCCCTTAGATATAATAACGGAAGAAAAACAGAGCCTTTCCTCCCCCATTATTTTAGGGTTTATTTGGAAGAAACAGAGAAGACATCAGCTGTCGAATCCGTCTTTCTTCCTCCAAATCATTAAGGTTTGAACAGGTTAAATGATATTTCCAATTTCGCTTATATTTTTTTATTATTATTACATTTTCTTTTGAGATGCGTGCAACTTATCGGTAGGTTAGCAAGAATTATTTATACTCTTTCTATCCCATTTTCTTTATTATCTTTCTTTTTTGGAATGTTCAAAATATGTCATATTTCCTTTTTTAAACATTTAAAATTCTTATTTTTTTATATTTTAAAATTATTTTTTATTTCTAACATTAAAAATTACGAAATTTTAATTTTATAAAAAAAATTTACTTTTAATATTAAAAACATTCAAGTCAAAGTTTTTTTGTTAAATCCTGTGAAAATCAACACAAGATAAACAAATTGGGGCGGAGGGAGTACTAGAAATTATATGTTTTTAATTATGAAGTTACTACTAAAATGCGAACCTGAATTGAAATGCTTGAAATTGTGCAGCAATCTAACTACTTGGCTCAAGTGATGGGAGAAGTGGTAACACATTTTCATTTATTAGCTTGGTTTAGTTTAATTAATTTTGCAGCAGTATCTCACTGTGTAATTCCTACAGAATTTTATGCAAGAGGAAGATATGCAGTTGGAGACTACGCGAGCAAGATGTACCTAATATCTCTTTCTTCTTCCTATAATAATTCTATATGTACATGTAAGATTTCTGTTTCTAAAAGAATTGAGTTTTGTTTTGCTTCTTTGCAGTTGCAAATGTTGTCAAAAGGCATGCCCAACTTACGGAGCGTCTCTCCAGGTATAACTTATGTAATAATTCTTAGGGTATCATTCTTTGTTATATTTAATTACCCTAATATGATGGCGATGATGGCTTATACGTACTTGCCTAGGACAGCTGATTTCTTGTTGCTGTTATGAACATAGAGTAGAAAGCTGACGAACATGTTCCCATTCTTTATCCTTCATGTTTAGGACTCCATTAATAAAGTTTTTCTATATGTTATTCGTTTACTTTTAGAAGTCCATTAGTAAAACTTCTCTCTCTATTAATGGGACTTCGGCTGCCAATGTTAAGTGCAAGTTTTGAATTTGGGAAGTTGGATGTCTGATCCTCACATGTTCAATATTGTATAGAAATTGTTTGATATTGAGTTATGAAGGGTTTGTGCAATTGGTTTCTCTCAGAAGGTTGAAGAAGCAAAAGGGGTGTCTGAGGCATAAAAAACAGAATTGCTTGTATATAAACGAAAACCTAAGTATTAAGTTTTATATTTATCCTTAGGGGCTTGATGCTTAACCTTTTGGACCATTGTATGAGTTAGCTCTTAATTACTCTGCATGTTTCATGTGTATTTTCTGGCCTTAATTTTAGTTTTAGTGTTAAATTTGGTAGTAGTGTGAATAAGGCATATATTATTGTATTTTCTGCCCTTGGTTGATTGGTGCTCAATGTTTTGGTGAATTTAGAAGCTTACCTTTTGATTATAGGACATTTTTCATGTGTAAATTTCTGATCGTAGTGAGTCTTGTTAAAATGTGGTATGAATATGAAATTTTGTATCTCTTAGAGGATTAAAGCTCTAAATGGTGGTGATTTAGTAGGGATTCTGATAAGATGATATTTGAGCGTCTACAAAAAGAATTTGAAGCTGCAAGAGCTTCTCAAACTCAAGGTAAATATATGCATTTGGAGTATAGAGTAACTTTTATATAAATGTGTTTTGTAGCAATCCATCAACTCTATGATTCTTTATTTTATATGTTCAAAGTTTTCTTGTGGTACAATACTGTGTTTAATACATAAATTTGAAAACAAATGTGGGATAATTTAAGCATTTTTAACTCTGACAAGAAATTGCCTTTTTCCTTTTGATATTCAGAGATTAACTTGGATGGTGAACAGTGGAATGACGGGCTACTAGCTACAATAAGAGAGCAGGTATGGCTTTCTGAATAATTTAAAGTAATTGTATTTCAGGTTCTATTTTAATGTTCAAGTCAGAATTTGATGATTGAAACAGTTGTCCGATAATAATTCTTCCTGCTTTAATGAATCTTTCTGTTAATAATAATAATTTCTACTCTCCTTTTGATAAAAGTTGTCTAGATGGTAACTTACCTGTTTTTTTTTATCAGGTTCACATGGAGGCTGACAGAAAGGCAACATCTGGGGACACAAACAGCATTCCAACATCTCATTTCCAGGAAAGGATTACTTACAGAATCGGAAGTAAGGTAATAAAATATGTTAAGAATATTTTTTGCAATGTTCATTATCTATAATCTGTAGAGATTATAACTGATATTGAAATCTTCCTCTTAAAATGCAAAAGTTGAATTGGACGAAGGTGATTGAATTTAATATCATCAAAGGTTACTCAAAGATGAGGGAATATGGGCAGTTTTCTAACAGTTTCTTCGATAGGATTAAAAGTTTAATGAAAAATTGCTTTTAATTTTTATAGAGTTGTAAGATATGGGATTTAGAAAAAGAAAATTTTATTTAGTTATAGTTACGCAGGTCAGCTTCAGAAAGAGTAGATGTACTATCGGTAAATTTGTTTCTAAGTGATCCACATTGCAGCTACTCTTTATGTATGTGCTTTGTTATTGTTGTATCTATGAAGTTATTTCTTGGGAGCTCAGATTTATAAGTGAACAGGTGATTTGTTGTCTGGAAGGGACGAGAATTGGCATTTTATATGAGACATCTTTTGCAGGTACTATTAAAGAAGCTTTTATCATTTGATTATTAGTATGTGCAGTTAGCTATTTAATTGGCATATATTGCATGGAAAAAGTTATCACTTCAAGCCGAGGCATATCATGTATGGTGTTTTTTGATTTAAAGATGTAAACTTTTTAGGAGAAGTTAATAAGTAAATGCCTTGAATCCCTGATATATATGACAAGGGTTACTCTTATAATTCTTGTTTCTTTAATTTTTGTAGGGGAGCCTTGTGAGCTGTACCATTGTGTGCTTGAGAGCAAGTCGTTTCTTGAAAAGATGACTGTCCTCGAACATACAATTCCTTTCTTTCTGCCAATACGAGAAGTAGAAAATGATCTTCTTTCTTCCAATGCCATGGTAACTTGGTTTCCTTTCTGGTTTTTACTTGATAAGATCATGCTATAGATCAGTTCTTAATATTTTTCTTTATCTATCTACTTTCAGAGATTTATAGATCATATTGGAGAATTATTGCAAGCTTATGTAGACAGACGTGAACAGGTAATGGTGTTGCTGTCATATTTCTTATATGGAAATGGAATGATCTTTTATTATCCCAAATCCATAGTTCTCTTGTTTAGGCAATGTTTAGTTTCTTGAAGCGTTGTTTGCTTGACTGTTGCAGGTTCGGCTTATTAAGGAGTTGTATGGAAATCAAATAGGAGAGCTGTATCATAGCCTTCCGTACCACATTATTGAATTTGTGCTAGATGATTCTGATTGGTTGGTCCACTTTGCACTTTATGGAGTATCTCTACTTATTCTTTATGTATATTTACATAGATTAGATGTATCATGGGGATATTTTGGTTTCTGAACATTATTTTAAGTTCTCTTGCTTTAGATTGTGTTTTCCTGTAGGTAGTTCATGTCTTTATTTTCTAATATTTACTTTAGAATATGGAATAACTGTTTCTTTCTCTGTTAGAATAGTTTTCAATATAAGGTTCGATAATTAACTTAAACAATTACTAAATGTTAAGTAATTATATTTGCTTTGTTGTTGATGGGATTGTTATGTTTTATTTGTTGCAGCAAAGTAACGATCAGTCTTAGATATCCGGATCTTGTTTCCATACTTCCAACTCGAGTGAAAGTTCTAGCATGGCCAATGCATCAATTCAAGAAGAAACATACAAGCTCAGCTGTTTTGAGCAGGAAGGAAAATGGAGAAATGAGTTCCCAACCTATTCCATCTCGTTTGTCTTATGCAGAGGATGCCTTGAGAACCATGAGCTTACCCGAAGGTATTATTTTTTCTTTTCCTATCTCCGATTGAAGGGCTTCCTGCTAGTTGTTTTTTTTTTTTCCTGAAACATGTGCAACTGTTGCTGCTGAATTCATTTTGCATTCAAATTTGAAGAAAATCTTTCATCTGATCGCAATTTCATTGCCTTGAAAGCACCTTTCTTTCTGCTTTCCTATCATTCAGTTACTAATTTATAATTGATTTTCTCAGTTCTTCACCCTTGTTTCTCCTCTCACACTTGGTTTGCTTCTTGCTTTCTTTTTATCAGCATATGCAGAGATTGTGTTGAATCTACAACAAGCCCTGAAGCAAATATCTCAGCTTGGGAGCCCTAGTTAGCTCTTCACTTCATTGTTCAGAAGTTTAAGCTTTTACAAAGTTACATGGTTGTATAGGATGAAATATATGCTTATGAATCATTGGGGTACTGTTGGTTTCATCTTTTATTGTATAGGAAGATTCCCCAACTTTAAGCCACTGTTTTTCTCCCCATTGTGGTTCTTTTCGACATTTTTACTGCCAAGGATTTTTTTCTTTTGCAATTATACTTGCATGACCATTGAATCTCTATGGGTAGAGAGGAATCAGATGGAAACAATTGACACAAGCAAAATGGTTTAAGCTATATTTTGGAGGATTATTCTCTCACACACACATTTAACGCATAAGTGATCTGTAAGTGTTATACATTTTTTTTAACCTTTAGATCATCAAAATGGTTAAGATTAAAATATTATTAAGTGCTTATTTGGATTTACACACTCCCATGATTTGGCATGATTAGAGGGGGTGATCGTCCCGAAAATATGTTCTGAGTAACAAAAGTCAGCGCGATGAAAACATTCTGGTCGTGCTACAACTTCAGTTAGAGTCAATACCTTCATGGATCTAGTGAAGAGCAATCGCAGCTCTTTATCATAATTATTCTATTTTGTTTTTCAACATATATTTATTTATTTTCAATTTATTTTGTTTGTTTCTCTTCTTTTTTTTTTTCATTTTTTATTTAAAAGTTTTCAAATGATTTATTATTTTATAAAATTAAAATTTTTATTTTTATTAATAAAATTATTATTTGACATAAAAATAATTTAATAATTTAAATTATTAATTAATTTTATAAATATTAAATAATTTAAATTTTTTATTAAATATAATTTTTAATTTATTATTTTTAATGATTTTTTTTATTATAATTCATTTCATCACTACTATAATTTTTACATTTAAATATATATCTCACCATTGATTTTAATTTTATCTTTATAATAAATCAATTTCACCACTATAATATATAATTTTATTTTACTTTATTTTCAAGCTCGCAAAAATCAATCTTACTATTTATTGAACTCTAAATATTAAAAAAAAACCCGTCTGTCACCATGCGAGTGCTAATTGAACAAGAAAAATGTCTTACTGAAAAATAGAATAGTGTGGCAATGTCTCAGGATTGGCTATGTCAATATGAATTATGAACTATTGATTTTAGCCTTTTTCTATTGTCATCGGTCATCAAATGAGAAGAAAAATAAGTCACCCATGAAAATAATATCCCTCCCGTCATTCTTCAAGATATGAAATTCCACACCAAAAAAAAAAAAACTGAAAAATATAAAGTACAAAAACTCACGAGGCACCAGGCAAAAGAAACAAATGCGCTCCCACTTCCTTTCTTTTCAGAAAGGAAGTGAGCTCCCACTAGACTAGACCGTCTTACAGAAGGTAATTGCCAATCAAAGAGCTCCTGCCTAAGTTGAGTAAACAAACAATTCCAATTCTCAAATATCATTTGCCAGAGTTTCCTTGTCAGAATCTGCACCTAACTTACCACTTTTCCTCCCTCATTTCGTCTTCAGTAGTTTTTTTTTTTCAATTTTTTTTGTTTTTGTTTAATCTCTTCTCCTACTCTTTATCCACTGTAAGATTCTTGAAAGGAAAGAAACAACTCCAAATCTATCCATCTTTGCTCTAAATTATGAACACATGACATCGAATGGAAAAACAACTTCATTGAAACAATGAATTCTCCAAGTCTCTTTTTTCCAATTTTCCTGTTTCTCCACCTTACTCTAAGCCATGCTCAACTTCGAGTTAATTATTATCAGAACACATGCCCTGATGTTGAATCAATCGTCAGCTCTGCTGTTAAACAGAAGTTCCAGCAGACATTTGTTACAGCTCCAGCAACTCTTAGACTATTCTTTCATGATTGTTTCGTCCGGGTTTGTCACCATGCCCTATCTAATTCACGCATGGTTTTGCTCTCTAATATCTGAAAGCCATTACATGGTTTAGTTTATTTTTTGTATAGGGCTGTGATGCTTCGGTGATGCTAGCTTCTTGGAACAATACCGCAGAGAAGGACAATCCGGATAATCTTTCGTTAGCTGGTGATGGATTTGACACTGTGATCAAAGCCAAGGCCGCTGTTGATAGTGTGCCCAAGTGCAGGAACAAGGTTTCATGTGCTGACATCTTGGCCATGGCTACTAGGGATGTCATAGCTTTGGTGCAAATCTTATATTCTACAATTAATTCAAAGTTGAGAGCTACACAGAAGAAACTTATTTATTCTTTGTTTAATACGATGTGTTAAAGCTGCTAGCTGGCTAATCGTCCACCATTCTCTTGTGGAATCCCTTTTAGTAACGTTTTGTGATGCAGACTGGAAGCCCATCCTATGCGGTAGAACTGGGAAGACTTGATGGTAGGATCTCTACAAAACGCAGTGTGCGGCATCATCTTCCTAGTCCAGATCGCAAATTAGACATACTCAAGGCCATGTTTGCCTCTCATGGTCTCACTCTTACGGATATGATTGCACTATCAGGTACTTAGTTTCCTCAGAAAAGCCAACTTGTTCGACCTTTTAATCAAATCAAATGCGTTTTTTACCAAAGTTTTGATCCCATGTTGATTTGGATAGGACTGACTCTACATTATATCTTCCAATATGGTAATTGGCAATATATCTGTCTGTAGGAGCACATACAATTGGGTTCTCGCACTGCAACCGATTCTCCAGACGAATTTACAACTTTAAAAGCAAGAGCAAAATTGATCCTACACTTAATCCACCATATGCAAGGCGGCTCGGACAAATGTGTCCGGAAAAAGTAGACCCCAGAATGGCCATTGACATGGACCCAGCCACGCCTCGAACATTCGATAATGTGTACTACAGGAACCTTCAACAAGGAAAGGGACTTTTCACCTCCGATCAGACATTGTTCACCGATGCAAGGTCAAGAACTGCTGTTAACATATTTGCATCCAACAAAACGGCCTTTGAAGAGGCTTTTGTGGCTGCAATAACCAAGCTTGGGCGGATAGGGGTCAGGAGGGGAAAACAGGGTGAAATCAGGCATGATTGTGCTGCTGTAAACAAGATTATCTAACTTGTTTGCTTGCAATATTTTTCATCCTTGAAAATTTGAGTCGGTTAAAATGCAAATAAAGAATAACCTTTGTCTCGTTTTATCATTTGGATCCTCGTATCATATTGGCCACGTTTTGAATCGCACTAAATGGTGGCTCTGCCACTGAAAAAGTGACCATACAAAAAAGATTGAAATAGAACAACCAAATAGAGCGTCAAGTGAATGAACGGTCTACGCTTTTTTTTTTTTTTGTTTGTTTAAGCTGCAGCGCTGCACAAAGCTTGTTTGGGGGTTAAACTTTGTATCTTAAATTTAAAACCATAAAAGGTTCATCCACCTCGCAAGAGCAAGAAGCAGAGGTATTTGTGATGTAACGGCAAGAAAAGAAAAACAAAACAGAAGGGTGGGACTTGGGAGGAAGAAATGGGTAAGCAGCTATAAAAGCTGGTGTTATTTTGCTGTTAAAGGAGAATAGTTCCTTACATCTCTGCATTAAAAAACAGAGTAACAACGAACATAATTCCAACATTTAGGAAAAGGAAAATTACCCTATATCTAGACTACTAAATATATTAATATTCATCATGAACTGGGCCTTGTTCGTCATCATAATTTTTTTTTTTTTTGAGGGAAAGATCATCATAAACATGATTCTAAGTTTTATCCAAAACTCTCTTTGCTCTTTAAACTGTATAATGCTGTTGAATGGTATCGATATCAAGTCCCTTCAGCTTAACAACTGATTCAACATGCCCCTTCAGTGTATTCAGCTCCCTCAGCCTATAGAATGTATAAATAAAATCATCATGAAAAGCGATAATGATAAAACATTTCACTAGATAATTTCTTTTAGAAAGAGGCAAAAGGACAATAACAAGTACCCTCGAGCATTTTATTTGTGCATATGCACGGTTAAGTAGCCGAAGAAATTAGTTCACTCACCTTGCAACCTCAGCCCTGCGTTTGGCCTGCTCCGCAATCTCTGAAAGTTCCCTGTAACTACTCCTTTCACTGAAAAGGTTTGAGGTTTCAGGTGGTTGAAGGCCATGCAGAGTTCTCTGTGCAGCGGCCCATTGTGCCTCTCTTTCCTCTTTTCCATAATCTTTCTTTGTAGTGAAGGCAGTCTATGATGCGCAGACAGCATAAGTGCAATTGAATCAGAAACGGAAAGGTTGAAATTCATGAGGCACAAGGAAAAAGTCAAAGCTCTTCATATTGGAATCGCAATTACAAATGAATGAATCATACCTTGTTCTCCAAAAGGTTATCCCAAGCCTTTCCACTAAGAATGTAGCGGATTGCAAATTTGATAAAATCGAGTGGGATATAAGTCACCACACTGTAAAGCCAGATTACACCAGCCCATCCCCAACCCATACCATTAATCCTTGCAAAACCCCAGTTTGCATAGACAGCTATCAAAGTGGCCACCTGCCAAATACAAGTGGGTTCATTATGTTATAACAGGGAGTTATCTATTACGCTTGTAAAATAAATACAAAAAGGATTTAAGTGAGTTCGATGAATTAGCAAAAAGTTAAAATCCATGAAGTTGAATTTGTGAAGCTTATCATTTACCCTTCACCTTTTATTATGTAAATAACATAATATAAACAACCACAATTTCAATAGCATCGGTGGTACACAGAACTTCACTGCAACATGAAGTATGTATTCCAACTTAGCTATAGAAGTTAGATAACTAGTTGCTGGGGACTTTGACAAGAAATTATGAAAAAAGATGTCTTTTCTAGAGACCTGCTTTACAGAAAATGAAAGTGGGCCTGCTAAAATTGTATGAAGAAAAAGGCAGACTTTTGAAATAGATATCTAAAAAGATAGGTTAAATTTTCTTACCAGCTGAGCAACTATAAAAGCAGTGACTAGAAGAAATCCAGGACGTTCAAAATAGGACCAGCTGCGAGACCGTGTGACAAAAATGAGGGCCTGACTCACAATACTAACTTGAAGGTATAAAGCTGCCATCATTTTTTCAGGACTATCCCTCAGTGATCTAACATTAAACGTGTCCTGAAATATAGGAAAAGGAAACTTAGCGAAACCAAAAGAAATCTCACCAAAATAATACATAAATGGGGCATAGAAAAAGGTTGTTCTTACTGAGAAGAAATTGGTGTCTTTCATTGCCCAGAAGAATAACACAGTCATTAGTGCTAAGTAACCGCCAAGCACAATGCCAGTAGAGAAAATCTCCTTGAGTTTCCAGCTGTCTGGCTGTGGAGATGGCTTTACTCTGTCCTTCGAGATTGTCATGATTGTACCTATAGATGTGATGATGAATTAAATCAGCTTCTAGAACATGGTGGGTTGGTCCTGGTGACATGTACAATAAGGCATATTGATGTAACAATCTGATAAAGATCATCTCACCATCGTTTAGGATGGCAATAATTAAAACCATGAAGGGCGCAAAGTCAAACTTCCATATCAAGGCGATAAACATGAAGCCAAACTGCCAAAATGAAAATGAATAAACTTAATCCATTTGTAAAATTATCTAGCATTTTTAGTGTTCATGTCTCAGCAAGTCTTTATACACTTACCACAATTCGAATGGTAATTGAAACTGCATAGATCTACAAAGTTGAAAAGAACAAGACAAAAAGTTACAAACATTTGCACTGTGGAACGAAAGGACTGTAAAATGCAAACAAAAGTAAGCTAAGATATGGCTAACCGTGTAGTTCTTCATCCTTTGGAAAATAGCCCGGCTGGTAAGCACTGCACTGATAATTACACTTAGGCCAGGTTCAGTAAGTACAATGTCTGAAGCACTTCGAGCGGCATCTGTAGCATCAGCAACAGCAATCCCAATGTCTGCCTTCTTTAAAGCAGGGGCATCATTGACACCATCTCCTGTCATGCCGCAAATATGTTTCCTCTCCTGTAGCCTCTTAACAATTTCGTATTTGTGTTCTGTAATTGACATGAAAAGGAATTGTTAGGGGAAAAAAACTTAAAAGAGTAAATGACCCTATAGAAAAGAAATTTAGTAACACTGTAACAAAGGACCTAAAAATATCAAAGGTGCCTGCATAATGTGCATGATAACAAGCGGCCGGTGTTACACAGGACTCTTTTCTTTAAAAAGAAAAGAAAGCAAGAATATCGGAGTTACAAATATATCATCTTTATTATCAACAAAATTCTTATTAAAACATAGATTTTAAAATTTTCCATTTTCCAGAATATCACATATTTAGGAAGAAATTGTACAACTAAACACACCTGGAAATACTCCTGCAAATCCATCGGCCTTCTCAATCAATTCATCTATAGGGAGGGCAGCAATGGAAGCATCCTTGTCTTGGCCCAGCAAGGAAGATGAAGGATACATGTTTGTTCCCATTCCAAGCCTCCTGCCAGTTTCTTTGGCAATGGCAAGCTGATCCCCTGCACATAATAGAAAAATATAATATTTACTCATGAAATTATACTGTTCAATATTAAAATAATATTTAAACAACTCTTACCGGTAATCATCTTAACATTCACTCCAAGGTTTAGAGCTCTTCTGATAGTTTCTGCACTATCATGCCTTGGAGGATCAAACAGTGGCAACAAACCAATAAACTGCCATGGTGCCCCAGGACTCTCTTTTGTTTTCTCGGGCACTTCCTGCAGAAACACAAATCAAACAATATGATTTTACCCCTATTTACTTGCCTAATCAACATGAAGCATGCAAAGTTTAATTTCCAAACCTGTCTTGCAACAGCTAAAGATCGAAGTCCACGTTCAGCAAATTTATCAATAACCGCATGAACCTTTTTCCTGACATCTTCTTTACAATTGCAAAGATTTATGATCTATTTCAGAAAAAAAAAAAAAAAGTGTGTAAGTTGGAAGTTATCTACCTAAAACTTTCAAAAGGGAAACTTTCAAAATGAGAAAAAAGTATTATTACCTGCTCTGGTGCACCTTTGCTAGCACGATGCCAGTTTCCATCAGAATCAATGTAGGTTAGAGCAGTTCTCTTGTCTACAGGGTTGAATGGTAGGAAGTGAATCTCTCGAATACCAGCTCGTGCCTGGCCAATCGGAATAAAAAAATGACTAAAGAATCGTTGGACCCAATCCTAGATAAAACAGAAGAAAGACCAGGAAGAAAATAATACCTCCTTTGGATCTGCAAGCATTCCTACAATTGCAGCATCAATAGCATCCTGATTTTCAGTCCTTGAAGCCCTTGCTGCATAAAGGATAATATGCTCTTTTTCTACTCCCTTTGCAAACACTTCAACTAGGTTTCTATCAACAGTAAGTTTGTTTAAAGTCAGAGTCCCAGTCTTATCACTGCATAGAACATCCATGCCTGCCATTTCCTCAATGGCTGTCATTCTCTTTGTGATAGCCCCTTGTTGAGAAAGCCTATGGGAACCAATAGCCATGGTGACGGACAACACAGTTGGCATGGCAATTGGGATTCCACCAATCAAGAGAACTAGTAAATTGTCAATTCCATCCCTATACCTGCGGTGCTGTATTGGGTACATGACTATTATCTCAACGATTATTCCAACAGCAATAGAGCAAATGCAGAAATTACCAATGGCAGTAAGAACTTTCTGGAAATGCCCAACTTGATTGGTGCTGTCCACTAGATGGGCAGCTTTACCAAAGAAGGTGTGAACACCAGTTGCAATAACAACTGCTTCTATTTCACCCTGTTTACACGTTGAGCCAGAAAACACTTCATCTGATGGATTCTTCGTGACAGGAAGAGACTCCCCAGTGAGAGCAGATTGATCTATCTTCAAAGGGTCACCCTCAAGAAGACGAGCATCAGCAGGAACTATGTCTCCTAATTTAATAGTGATAATGTCCCCTGGAACCAGAATTGCTGCTTCTTGCTCACTCCATCGACCATCTCTAAGAACCTACGTTATGGTACAAGAACAACAAGTTGAAATCATGATTAAAATACGACAGAAAGATGGCTCTATGAACTGTTAAGTTCTGAATGTTTCATTTTCACCTTAGTTTTTGGAGCAAGATTAGCCATGAGAGCAGCTGCAGCGTTACCAGCATTATTTTCTTCAATAAAACTGATGGTGGAGTTGATCAGCAACAAGACAATGATACCAACGAAGTCCTGCCAGTCCGGAGGCCTTCCACTACCATTTGCCAAGGCAATAGCCATTATAGCAGCAGCTTCCATGACCCATGACAAAGGGTTCCACATAAAACCCAAGAACTTGAGAAATTTGCTCTCCTGTTTGCAAGGTATAATAACAGATTATACAAGCAATATACAAGCTGAAATTTAACAAACTCATATGTAAATGGTTTATGATATGGACCTTTTTCTCTTCTAGTTTGTTTGGTCCAAAAACTTGAAGGCGAGTGGTGCCTTCCT